GCATTGCCAGGAAAACTTCAGCAGGTACAAACCGGAGAGCCATTCTTCCGCATTCAGGTGGATCTTAAAGGTCCACTGAAAGTCAGTAAAAAAGGCAACAACACCATTGCAGTTGCAATTGATCAGCTCACTAAGTTTGTAATCGCCAAAGCCATACCCGACCAAAAGGCAGAATCAGTAGCAGATTTTCTGCTGCATGACGTGATACTGCCGTATGGCGCACCTTTTATCATCAACACCGATAGAGGCAGTCATTTTCTGAATGATCTCATCAGCGCTATTACCAAACAGCTGAAAATAAAACACCATTTTGGTACGGCATACCACCCCCAAGGCAGAGGACTTGTCGAAAGACAGATGCAGTGGATAGGCGACGGTCTATCCATGCTTGTAGGCAGAGCTAACGAAAAACGGTGGGATGAATTTCTTCCGTTTATTGTAGCGGCATACAACCGTACAGTTCAGAAAACCATCAGGCATTCACCATTCTACATGTTGTATGCCAGGGAACAGTCACTTCCAGGTGACACCATCACTCAGACCAACCTCCCAGACGATTATGACAGCATTGACGATTATTTGGAGAAATTCAAATATCGTTTGAATGCTGCTCATGATGCAGCCAGAGCATACATCGACGAAGACTTTCTGCGAAAGGCAGAAACCTATAATCAGCACAAAAGCAAGCCAGATTTTACGATAGGCAGTCTAGTAAATCTCAGGCAGCAACAAAAGAAAGGCGAAAGTAAGGACCTTCGTTTTAAATACGATGGCCCTTTCGAAGTCGTAAAATTCCCATCAGAAAACGAAGTTGCCATTATTCGCAGAGACTATCCGTATGACTCAGACGTCGTCGCGATCGATCGTTTGAAATCATACACGCCAGAAGACCCTGATTTCAGTAAGCCAATCAAAACCAGAATAATCCTCAGCGATATCGATAACGCGAAAATATTAGGCAAAACAAAACGGGATAAAAATACGCAGCCAATCTCACCAGCTAAGCCATCAACTGGACTGTTAAAAGTCAAGTTGAAAGTACCTCAGAAAAAATCAGATGAAATTATCAGTCCAACCAGTACAGCTGCAGATACTTCTGCAGATCAGCCAGTCAGTGATACTAGTACTGATTCGGGAATTAACGCCCAAACCAGTACAAGTCCAGAAGCCACATCAACCGGTGGAGACTCGTCTCCACAACCGCCAGTTAAAATCAGAAAAAACTCAAAACGACAAGCCAAACCAAAATCAGCCAGTTCTGATACATCAGAGTCGTCATCCAGTGACTCTGATGGATCATGGACAATTACAGCCAACAGCAAAGGCAAAGTGAAAATCAAACGGCATCGTCAGACGCCGAATGATTTATTAAGCCAGCCACTCGATTCTGAAACTGACGCAGAGGACGCAGACCTAGTTGAAAAACTAACTCGTCCAAAGCGCCGAAAGCCACGTTTCCCACCAGCTAGTTAAAATACGAAAAGATCGCATGACAGCAGGCAATATACTCTTTAAGCCAGTTAAAAATGTACAGATCGCATGGCAGCAAATAACATCAGACCGCATGGAAGCAGTATTTAAATCAGTGCAAAAACGAAAAAACTGCAGGCATATCATATGGCAGTAAAACGAGATTAAGGATCGTGACCGCACCCGCGTCATGACAGTAAAAAGATCGTATGGTAGCAGTAATATCAATTTATTAGCCAGTGAAAAAAGATCGCAGGTAGCAATCTGCAAATTAGCATGTCAGCCAGTAAAACAAATCAGCCCAATTATCAGAAATTAAAACAGCCAGTTAAATTCATTTTACATGCATTTTGAAAAATACTTGCATGTAAATTAGCCAGTTGTACACAATGTAACGGACAGCACTCCATACTCAGTCAGTTAAAACAGACAGACCCCCATAATTAGGCAGTTAAAAAAGGCATTTTATTACAAAATTACTAACCGCATGCAATACCACCTTATAGCAGGCATACCATCATTAGTAATTCATCTCAAACATCATTCTCCATTTTACAGTAATGGATCCTAACCGAGGCGGCAGTCGTCGCCGCGGTTATCCCAGAAAACAGGCAGATCCACAAAATACTAGCCAGTCACAACAAGAGCCAGATTCTTCTGAAACGTCAGAGGAAGAACACGTCATGATTATCGGCGAAGTGGAAAGGCCAGCAACAAGCCATTCCACTTATTCAGAATCAGAACAACTCGCTAATGTAGGACTTCAGCCAGTTCCAAAAGTTGAGTCAGCAGAACCATTGTCTATTTCTACACAAGGAAGTACGATGATGGCTGGCTTAACACAGGCAGATTTCACCCGTTTAATGCAGGAAAATCAGCAGTTGCAACAACAACTGTTGCAGATGCAAGGCAGTCAACCACCAGAACAACAGGCAGATGAACCAGACAGTAGTTCATCGCCCAGGCCAGTCAAAACTGAACAACACCTTGAGCCAGAAAACACAGGAAATGCCAGTTCAACACTACAGCCAGTGTCTAATATTCCTCTTACAGCACCTCAGTTATATCAGGCATATCTATCCAGCTCAAAGCCAGAATTTACTCCACGAGCTCCGACATCGGATTTTCATCCGATTAACAGACCAAAGCCAGTGAAAACGGAACAGACACCGTTTGTCAGACAGCCAGATCTATCACGAGTTGTACGAGCCAGAGTTCCTAATGCAGATCAACTCAGAGCCAGTTCAAGCAGAGCCAATACTGGTCCCAGCAGAAACACCAGATCTCAGGACAGGCAGCACGACAGAATTTCCACCATTTCAGAACCACACAGCACAGGCGTAGTCCCGCCACCACCGGGATTTTCACCGCCTTTGCCAGCCAGTATGACTCAGCACATTTCAAACAGTGTACATCAGTACAGGTTCCGTAATCCAAGGAGCACAGAGCCAGATCTACCTTGCAGGCGAGGATATAGTTGGGTTACAGCCACAAAATCAGGCGACCCAGCTAGAGCAACAGGCAGAGCAGTACCTACAGGCCGACCTCCAGCTCCAGTACGACAGCCAGTCCCACCATTTCCAGGTTTTGCAACCCTGGATATGACTAGGCAGAGAGCACCTATTTATTCACCGCCAACACTACAGCGGCGCTCAGACGAAGATTCACCAGAGTATACACAGCCACAACTATTGGGATATAAAACTCCCGAGGCATCTCCCATAAAGCCAGTACAAACATGTGTACCAGGTCAGCCAGGCAGATCTAGCGAATCAAAACGACCCAGATCAGATGAAGACAGACGAGTCAGAATCACCGCATTAATCCCGAAAATTTTGGAAGCCATCAGATACGCCAAGGAAACTCAGAAGACACGCCCAACACTATCCGTGCTCGAGGGTATTTACCGCACTCGACTCGGTGGTTTACAGGCTAGTCTTGCTGAATTCAGAGAAGCAGTCGACTTAGCAGTTAATACAGGCAGAATTGTACGCACCTTCAGCAGTGGAAATAATCAGTGGAATACAGAGGCAACTTACACAACTCCGCAAGTCAGACGCAACCAGCATCAGGACAACCCACTTATTTTACCGCGAAAGTTTCGGTACGCAGTAGAGGCAGCGATAAACGAGATTCATGACCCAAATGGATCAACAAATCTGGAGATCATCCAGTACATACAGGCAGTTTTCCCACAGCCAGATATGACTCCAGCGGAAGCTATCAGAACTATACAGGCAGCACTACGTGAATTGGTCCAGCGACGGGTAGTTGAAGAATTACCCAACCCTGGCGCCGTTCAACCGCCATTTCACCGCTATGCACTGACAAGCACTCATGCACAGAGAGTCAGCGCATTAACAGGAGAGCCAATTGAAGACATACCGGCAGTCCCACATCAGAATCCCATGCCACATCCCAATGACATTTTACGTGTTATTGGTCAGTTACAGGCACAACTACGACGACCTACACCAGATGCAATTTGGCAGTCCTTGTTTGAGGAACGGCCAGATTACACTGTTGTGGCAGTCTCATACGTATTAAGGCAGATGACAATTTCACGCCATATCATACGCCAGTTTCACGGTACAAATCAGCCAGTTTACATTACGCCAGCTAACACAGAGTCACGCTTATCAGAACTACGGCAGAATAATCCAGATCCCTGGAGAGCGCTCATTACGCGAGCTATCCATGAGATCGCGGATCCCAGCGGTACAACAGTCAGTGAGGCAGTACTCTATATCAGAGCAATTTTGCCAGATATGCCATCTATGCCAGCACCACAAACGACAATGTACGAAAGGCAGCTCATGGACGATGAGGATTTCGTCTATGACATTGACGTTCATCGCGGAGTGTGTTTCCGACTGACACACCCACTCTCATCACCACCACAGGCATCTCAACCTCCAGCAAAACGGAAGTAGATCTAACAGTCTACTTCCCAGCCAAAACAACAATCAGATCAACGAATAACACAATAAGATCGCATGGTAGTCTCACAACTACTATGTAATCATAGCCATTTTCATTTCTAATTATGACAGATCGCATGGTAGATGCAAATCTACTTTGTGATTATAGCCAGTCCTATTTCACAGTCTAGATCGCATGGTAGCTCTAAATCTACTATGTGATTTTAGCCAGTTAAAATCCTTATACAGTTACAACCGCAGATCGCATGGTAGGCGTTACAATCTACTTTGCGATTTTTGCCAGTTAAACCATTACAGAATTACCAGATCGCATGGTAATTAAGGCAGATAAACGGTAATTTAAAAGATCGCATGGTAATTAAGGCAGATAAAAACAACAAACTGGATCATACAGATCGCATGATAGTAATATCATGTAAACTCAGTTTGTAGGCAGTGTAATATTATTCCTTTTCAGAAAAATTTCAGTTACTACAGCCAGTATAAAACTAACTAAATTAGTCATTAATTTAGTTCATTGTAAGCCAAATCTACGTAGTGGAAACACCACTGCGATATACGCTTGAATTAAGGCATTTCCACTTTCAGAATGGCGTTCGCCAGACTCTACGATAAAGACTGTAAGGCATGCCACTACAACACAGAGAGACGTCCTTGTATGGATCATCTCTTCATGGATACGCCAGATCTACCCAGCCAGGTCGAAGCTCTTGTCACGGAAGTCGTAAATGGCAGCCGCGATGCTTACGACCGTGTACGCCAGTCCAAATATTGGCCCCATGTTGAAGCCAATTACAGCTTTCATCGGAAAGTTTTCAGCGCAGTTAGCCAGCACATCAAATTCACCGGCGGATGGCGAGATGCACCAGTGCCGCCCGAGCCGAAAATTCCTGACGCTCAATCCACCACTCCTTTGGGCGTTGCAGGATGTAGCCAGCCAACCCCCAGCCCAACAATGATGCATCGCGCACCACGGGACTCACATCCTCAGCCGCGCTATGCAGATGCAGCCAAAAAGCCAGCAATTCCACAGTCAGACCGACAGCAGAGTGGCGCACGAGGCAGTTACAACCCTCGTAGTGGCCCTGTTTTTGATCAGCCAACACCCACATCTTCGGTAGGTTGTAATAGCGGCAGAACAAGTGTAATGTCAGATTTGACGATCAGTTGAACTTTCCACAGGGAAAAGGCAGAAAACCGAAGATCGAGAAGCCAAAAATTATCCCACGCCCACAATCAGAAGAAGTGCAGGTCAACAAAATCATGAAGCACTTCAACCTATTTGGTCAGCCCAAGGCATATCAGTACAAAAGAGCCATTCGAACAGTCGTTACTGAATTTAACGACTTTGCCAGTGAAATCGATCTTTATGGGCAGTTGGAACAACGCGATTACAGTGTGGAAGGTCCTCATGGAGAGGAATTGGAGTATCAGTACGCAAACGGCAGGCAAAACAACCTGAAAACCTTCCTCGACTTGGATGAATTGGATAAGCCAATTTCAACCGTCGATTATGAGGCACTCTCACAACTGCAGTACCACGGAAAAATCCATTGGGAGGATTATCTCTTCCAGTGGGTCAGCGCTGAATCCAACCCAGCGTTATTCCTGGTCGCATGTAAGGCAGCCATCCATTGTTTCCAGACACTCCAGTACGCCAAGACTCTTGAGGAAGTTCGTTGGAACATCCCGAAATCACGCCAGTACAACTGCAGATTGTTTGCACGTATGTTGGCAGCCCTACTTGGTCATTACAACAGCCATTCCTACTTGTATGACCGTAAATCGGAAGGACGCCTTCAGAACAACTGCAAAGCTATCGGAAGACCACACTTGCCAGAACAACAGAAGGAGATTTACGAACGAGCCTTAGCCAGACCTCCTCCTAAAGAAAAGCCAAAAATCCTCACCTACGTCCAGGATCCCGTCGATATGGTTACTGACCATATCGATCGCCTGAATACCCGTAGTGAGAAGAAGCGCAAGGCAGCTGAACTAACCTCCAGTCAGAACTCCAATGAACGCAGCGTTGCAGCATCACCAACTACGCCAGCACAACCAGCACTCAAGAAGCCAACAGGCGAAAATGAATCAGCCCCATCAGAGGAGATGAAAACTCCACAGCAGGCAGACCTCAGTGATGCTTTGAACGCATTGAAAGGAGCATCCTTGAACGACGACAAGGATGTGGATACTGAAATGCCAGACAAAAACACGGAGAAATTGGAGAAACAGCCAGAACAACCAGCTGATGAATCAGCTAAACCAGCAGATAACGCACTTGACGGCAGAACTATCGAATTACATGCCAATCAGGATGTGGATGACATTCCTGGTGCAAATTGAGGGGTTTGCGTCGGAATACGCCATGTTCTAAGCCAGATCTACATCAGCCACACCTACTTATCATTCTTACACTCCATGAACAGATACGGTTCATGTGAGTTTGGATTTTGGAATAACTCCTTGGGCAGATACGGTCCTTGTGAGTTTGTAGTTGGAATAACCCGTTGGATCGGACGGATTGTAACCCGCCAGCGGAATTCCGGTATTTTTTTTTGTTTTTCTCTAACAGACCAAATTCCTGTTTTTGTGATAACATTAAATTGCATCTCGATGGATTTTTATTTTGGTAATTTTAATAATAAGGCAATAAGCCAAATTTTTATCGCCCTTAAGGCCATGTTGTATTTTTGTGTTCTTATTGTAAGGCACAGGAAAGGCATTCAATTCTCATAAACTAACCATACAAAATCATTTGTGTAAGGCAATCGTACTTCAATCAGTCCTATCGTTTAACCAGTCTTTACCGTTTCGCCATGGTAAATTCAGAGCCAAAAACTACTCCTAAACAGGCAAACCAGAGGCAAGATACGCGCTCAATACTCAAGTGGTTGGTGAACGGTCGAGAAGTGGTTGAGCTTGAGAATCAACGTGAACTCGGTAACACTGGTTTGCGAGTTGCGAGTGTTGCGAGGAAACGTGAGCGACTTCTGGTGTCAGACAGTCCTACAGGCAGTGTGTTGATTTCGTTATGGCACAAACTGCACTGAGCAGCGCTATGGCGGAATAGCATACAATCAACTTTCAGACCTACTCAGGACACCACGGGGAAGCAACATCGGTATCTCGTACTCTTGCGTTTCTCGTATTACCAGTGCAATGCCGGGAGATCTGCGGGCCTCGCGAGACCTCGGCACCCCACCCAGTGGCATGAGGGAGACTCCGTCAGGATAGTCAGGCTATGGACGCCTTCGTACTATCGGGAGTGTACGCGTGAGCCAGCACTATATCGTCAGGCAGTACTATCGTTTAGAGCCATTTTCACTGTTATACGGCATTGCGAGCCATAGCACGGCAGCGTATGTGCTTGTACGAGTTTACTCGTGCAGTGCACTACGTACAACTCGTACATCAGCCACTCTCACTTCAGGCATAGTACTTTGCAGGTAGCCAGCACAGACTTCACAGTCTGCACAGTCATTACGATATTCGGTGATTTCCATGCTTGGCATTCCCACCGGTGTCATAGGATTTTATGTTGATGTTGTGATTTATATTTTTATGAGCCATAAATATTGATATTTACGTTCCCAGTGCGTTTCCCGTATTTCCGGTAGAGTCGTAGGCTCTAGGCCCCTTACGTCGTGTACGGCCTAGATCGCAGCTAGTACAGGTATTTCTCCAGTTTCTTTTCAGTTAATTTTTTGTTTTGAATTCTGAGAAAAAAGGAGAAGTACCAAGCAGTATCAGATTAGAGTATACAGAGTAGTAAAGTCTTGATAATACACATAAAATATTTCACCCGACACTGCCATTTCCCAGATCAGAAGCCGACAACACGCACGATCCATACATCATTTACAATGTTTATTGATTATCTCATACTTTAATTGAGACACCCTTCATTTAAAAGGAGGCAAAAAACCTGATTTGTTCGAATAACACTTGAATAATTTATCAAGATCAGAATAATTTCTGGCAGATATGCCGTAAGCGGTGTGATAGGCGTGCAGCGGTCATAGTCAAACGAATGGCACACGCACTGTGACGCTCACACTTGTCGGGAGTACAGAATCTTCCATCGCACCGATTTAAATTACTGGAAGATGATCTACGAACTGCGCCGGGTATTTAATCATTTAGCACAATTGTGTGTAATCACGTAGACACGTAATACTGCAGTAATACGCTGTACACATGCCACAACTATAGCTACGATATGGCTTCCCATGGGAATCGCGAATGCTCTCACTATAGCTTTGTAATGATATGACTTTGTAATTTCTTTATAATCCCAATTAATTATATGAACCTTAATTAATAGAATTGAATTTTGAAATGCTGTCAGTTTATCGGTACGATTGGAAATGGTACTGCAAACATAGTTTCGTACAGCCACTTATGGTACGTAGCGATTACATAATTGCTTCAAGGCTATAACATTTAACACAAGCCGCACGCTTAAAATTATTTTAGATGCATAATTAAGCTTATTTATTTTAGCATCTGGTAGTGAAAAAAAATGATAAAATATACGATGATTTGATATACCGGAATAGCCACGACATCTTTAACAAGTGATAGATTACAACGTTCTGCGGTAGTTCAAATTAAATTTACTTACTTATGTACTGTACTGTATAAGAATGTATCTCTAATAATATCACCTGTAAGTACTAACTAAGTACCAAAAAACAGAAATTCATAAGAAAAACACTTGTTCAATCATATTAGTCCAGAGTACAATAAAATGTTGTACGTCATACGTATATCACGGGGTATGTACAATATGTACGGCCCAAGTTGGCGTGATCAGTTCTGCAAACAATCTGCGTTATGGGCATACGGCATACGCATAATACAATCAAATAATTCCTTGGAACAACCACTGGTACACATCACACTAACCATAAGCACACTTTACGTTTGTCTATTGCTCTGTAAATTATTCTGACGAACCTGATGTCGCGATGATGGTAATGCCATTGTCGTCGTCGCTGAACTTCTTGGCTCCGTACCATTCGGCCATCTTAACGGGCACCAGCCAGTCTCCTTCGACTCTGCATATGTTCGGACCATTTATATCCCACATCAATTCGGTTGTCGTGTAGTTCGCATACAGCACCGGATACTTCTGGGCCATGTGTTCGGCCGCGATTTCAAATGTCGAAACCATCTGCTGCGCACCCGATCCCGAGTTTTTTGTCGCCGTCAGTGTAACTAGGTTAATACGCGCCGAAATCCGATGAATTAATAACAAAACGCCCAAAAGAACACCGACGGACATTTTGCTTAACAGACTGCCGTTGTGGACAACAAGACTTTGAGCGACTGTAACACGCAACTGAACAGCTGACAGCAAGGGTTGTAAGCACATTTCAATTAACCCCCTCGATATTGCGTCATATTCAGGCGACGCGATATGACGAAATTCAAGAATGGCTCACAACGCCGCAGTGTTCATTGTCAATCAGGTAATTAAATCTCGATAGTGCTAAGAGCCGCAAGCGCCACACCGATAGATTATACATCATGAATAAAGACAATTGTCCATCACGATTCCGTAGAGGATACGTAGAGCGTAGGCTGTAACAGTAGATGATTGTCGAAAGGTGTTTTCCCCGCCACAATACCTCTCTCAAACATCTAAGCAAAGTACTTAGGTTTGTGGTATACCACTGAATTGAGTATTCTGTTCAGTGTGCTGGTCCTGTGTGCATCCTCCTAACGCAGGTAAACTCAACACAAGTGCACGTCATATCGACAGCTCTCAGGATGAAAGCGATCCACTTCTCCGTTACAGTACAGCCATTTTTTCACCTTGTGTACATTAACGTTGACTTCCCGTGCTTTATCATAGTGCCTGTTTGCCGTGCACGATGTTCTTGTCATGCACGTATCTATGCGATTGAAAACAGGTTTTTCATCGCTTTACTTTGTACAGGTCCGGTTTGTCACCGGATTTTAAAAAACCGCAGTTGGTGCGACAAGTTGACAACCTCTCAAAAATGTAGGATTTTCGTGGTATTCTTTTTCCTAATCTGTTAAAACAGGATTATGTATGTGCCCTCTGTGTAAATTGATATACAAGCTTTGCGGACGCAGTTGTAAACCTGGGCTTGTTCGTAATTTTGTACCGCTTGGATGAATAAAGAGGAGTATAAATACCGCCAAATACTACCGAATGCCTAAATTCTGTCAATGCCGCACGGCATTGTACGATCTATCTGTGCATTTAAAGTACGAGTACTAGCTATAGCACTTTAAATCGTGCACCTGCACTACAATTCACATAGCGCCGTAGCGCTAGGTAGGGTAGAGATTTATGACATAAATTCCTTTAGCGGTGGTGTTTAAAAGTATTAACAAAACGTTATCGAAACGGGGCTCGGCAGTGGAAAGTTCAACTGGAAACTTAAAAAAACTAGAAGTAGATGTTCATGCCTTCGTGACGTTCATTTAACCGCTCAGCCTTGTTGTAGAAGTATGCTTATAGTTTACAACCGGAACGTTTTGTTCTTCCTGTGGACACAGGAGTCGTCTGTTCAGAGCTTTTAGACAAACACGTAGCTTGTAGACACACTTGCTAGGCTTGATCGCCTTGATCTATTAGACACAATAAGACGGCAGTCACTGATTTGAGACCCTGCCGGGGTCTGTGGACACCATTAGAATCTTTCGCTCCCGTAGACACCGTATACATCTGTAGATACACCGAAGGCCGAAAGCCAGTACAGTGACACAGGCACTGTAGACGCTTACAAATTAATTTTATTTCCGACCAGCAGCTCTACAGACAGCTGTAGACATCTGTAGACACGCGGTAGTCACTGCGTGACACCCTGTTGACACTGTTTGCACACGGTCTCCATCATGTCTACCGCCACCATGACACAACAGTTTATCGCGCAGATGATGACCAGTAGTTCTAAAGTATTCGCTTTTATTGTTTCGGTGCAACAAAAACTCGCTTAAATAATCTTACCGGCTATATAGGTCGTTTTTGAATACTTCCTGCCAGATATCAAAGGCAACAGAACGGGCCAGAAGATAACGAATAATAACGCGCTCCGTGTCGAAATACGTAAATGGCCAAACCGTAGCTGCCGCGTCTAGGAAAAAGGTTCGTTAATACGGCAGTCTATTCAGAAGGGTGCTTCTTCGTTGACCATATTTCATCGAACTGTTACGTGAGAAGGTAAGTACTTACCGGTAAGTACCGTATTCGGAACATTTTTAACCGCCATGTGGTCATCACGGAGACGCGCATAAACTTCACAATCAGTTGTGTCCAGGTTCGCACGTTCATAGCGCACTGATGGCGGCACGCTGTCTACAGGCGTCTGCCGGTGTAATGTATACAGGCAGAGCACTAACCAATAACCAGTACTCCCAGCCAAGTAAAGAATGCCTGTATGCAGCTGCACTAGACACCATTGTAGAGTTAGACAACCTGTATACAATCTAGTAAAAAATCTAAGAAACCGTAGTGACTTCGACATACGCTGCAAGAATGTCAACAATTGATTACCGGTGTATCAAGGCAAAGCGCCCAACAACATCCAGAGAAACCTGCCAGTGTGCAGCGGCAAACACATGTAGACAGCCAGTAGACAACAATTTCGATAGCCTGTATACATTTTAAAAAGCTAAGAAATCTAAGAAACCGAAGAAACCAAAGTATCTACAACAAAAGAACAGAAGGGCCATTCGGCAAATTTGATTGGCATGACGCTGGCCAATTCGCCCTAAGAAGCCGCTCACAGTCTGCAGCCCTCCACAGGTTTAAAAGCTATCTGTTTTTTTCCAATTTCAGTGTTTACATACCACATAGTGGCCCCGATCTCTTCAAACTTATACACAGACACTCGTGCGGCGACTTATATCGAAATGTTTGTATAAGTTGTCAAGGAAGTGACACGTCTCATCCGATGGGCAACTTGCAACAAAATCAGTGAACCCTGTTACCTTGTATCACTGATTATTACGCTTACTCATCGGCATACTCTGGTTGCACTGCCATGCCGGAGCGAATTTAAGAATTTTATGCACAATTTGCCTGAAGAAATCCAGTAGTTTACAGGAACAAGCCAAGAATGCTACGAAGGAAAAACCATTTTCTTATACTGGAAGCGTTGCTCGTAAAAGGTCATCAGTTAGTCCAGTGTCAGATGTGCCGCTTTCGGTGCAAAGTTTTTGCAGTTCCAGTATTTCGTGGATCTTCTGAGATGGTGGAATCCATCAGGATGTCATACATATGCGAGCCAACGTAACAGCATTTGTTAGCGTGACTGTGCTCGAGTTCGATGGAAAATTGCGCTTTTTCCGAAGATTGATCTCATGGAGTAGCCATTTCTACATAGTTAACTTTAGCGCGCAGTACATTAATTTTTAATTTTTGTCCTCGAACAATGCACTGTTAATGTAATATAGCATCTTCTTCCTCTGTTACCACCGGTATTTCCAAGTGATTCCAACCAAAAGTAACTTACCGCGGTAGATAACAAACCCTTATTTGTACTGCAGATGCCGGTTGCAGGCAGAACTTACCGTTAGCACTCTTGTCGTAAGAACCATACCGAACCTTACAAACTAATACCGAACCATACCGAACCGAACCATATTTGTATCTATGGACCGAAAGTGCACACGCTGAAGGACCGATAACCCAAAAATACGTGTTGGACAATTTATCGCCATTAATTGCGTGGAGGTGTCGCTGGCCGGGAGGACCTTTTCTCCATGCAGCAGCTCCGGTGCCATCCAGGCATGTGATGGATAGATACGAAGGGAGTCACTGGTATGACTGAGTATTGCGCATAACAAGCGGCTAATGATCATTTATTGGGCGAAGGCCATCACTATAACAAAACTTGCATTCTCGAAATACTGCTTAAAATGGTTCAAATTTTCACGTTGAAAAAACAATCAAAATCGTTATTGCCGTTATCCATAGGCCCAAAAGAGCAGCAGCATTTCATTTCACTACAGCTAGGCTAGACTTAATCTCTGTTTCAAAAACACAGTAGAACGGGATTCTCCTGTCACTTCGTGAATCTTTCTGCCAGCGAAACGAATTTTAGCTCCGCAAAGACCGAACCAAATGTACCAAATGTTTCGATTCCACAAAGGCATATTCACGACGTTTGCTGTCTTCGGCCAAATGTGCAACACTGCCTGATGCACTTGCGGCTATTGTCTGATGGCAAAAGTCAGATATTTTAACACTGTGTGCGACTGTCGCGAATTGTTTCCAGTGAACTGAGTTTGTACCGTTCATAATACAATATTGGTGGAATTTCAGAATGTCCAAACCAAGAAGCTTGTTAACTTGTGGAGCGTTCATTTTGTGAATCCGGAAGAAACAACTCAATATTTATCCAATTAAGGGGATTAAATTCAGTTATGGAACTCTGAGTACCTCGTACGTTAATGGTAAATTTAAAGTAAATCGAAATAACACGGCTAACACTACAGTAGGCGCTTCGCTGGAGTTCTAAATCAGCGGCGTTTTAATAGCCAGAACACCGTGGACCGTCACAACGCAGTTGAAAACTGTCTGTTCACTGTTAACTGTCTATTCACGGGATGCAGCCATGTCGGATTCCAGGGACTTCGCTGCATAAGTTTTCTCGGCACTGACCACCTGTTACACTTCATGAGGCTGGATCATGGACCCGTTTTCTTGAGCGACTGGCCACCTCGGCAGCGCTTAAGAGCATTAGCTGTTTCGTCGACATTACACATAACCGTTGTATTCACAACAGGATTAGAAAGATAAGACCCCCACTTAAAATACAATTACCATCTAAATTCAATATATCGAGTTACGAAAAGAGCAGCCTATCAATCAGGGTTTGTGCCGAATGTCTTTTTCACGTAATTAGGTGGATAACAAACAGCATCACGATCAGACTGGTAATAAGTTTCAGCAGTTTGGATACCACAAATATCCGCTGTACTTTCCACGTCTCCATAACAATTTCCATTGAAGTAAGCAGTTAAAGAATTTGGAATTAGACGAGCGTCGCGAGTTTTACACTATTACATTTTTAAAAACTGAATAAACTGGCGCCCCCAATTATAGCATTCCATTGGTCTACTGCGCGGGCTGCACATCATCGTTTTCGCCTAAGAGAATAAAAGCTGATACCGGTAGACCTTTTAATCAACTTCAAGCGAAATCAAATATCCGGTAAGGCCCAACTGGAAAGTATAACATTTTTACCCCATTTTAACGGAAAAGAAAATACTGAATTACTGGAAAAGGGGGAAACGGAAAAGACACATAAGCTAAATATAAATAGTGAAATGTAATTATTAAAAATGTCGACCAGCAAAATAGCGACAGCGCATTATGCGAGTACGATCAAATTTCATGTAGGGCGTAATCAGAAGGCAAGCGGCTTATGTCTTATGATGATGTTAGCGGGAGTTGATTATTTGTCACATCTTGCAGTATGTCTGAGAAAATTCATAAGCGTAATATTCGACCGGAGCGTAGCGAAGGTCCTCTATATTCAAGACCAATGCATTGGTTGATTTCTGTCCGTTACGGAAACCCGTTACGGAAGTTTGTTACGGAAGTTCGTTACGGAAGTGCGTTACGGAATTTTGTTACGGAAGTAAGTTTGATGTTCACTCAGCTGACCGCTATGACGTCATCACAGCCAGTGTCAAACTGCCTGTAACGTCATGCAGACCGCCGTGACACAGCGGGTCTGTGTAGCGGTACTGCAGCTCTTGATTTCTTCCCGTTACGGAAGTAATGCTATGGTATCACCTCAATTTAACCACTATGACGCTACTGCTAAATGCTGATTTGTAGCGACACATAAAAAAGTGCCACAGTTTTGATTTCTGTCTTTTACGTAAATAATACATGACGTTCGGTACATATACGCGCATACATCTCCGTAACGTGATGCACATGAGGGATGGGATCAGCAATAATTATCCACCACCTTAAATTTCCCTCTGGGATACTTTTCTGGTCCTCTTTCCCACAGTCACTAGAATAATAACCCTTTGATCGTAAAGGTGCCCTTGGCGGCACTAATCACCGACACGGGTTTTTAATACCCGGTTTTTAAAATAAATTTTTTAATTTTCATAAACCGCTACGGGGGTTACGAAAGGGCGTACGTTTCGAAGCTCAAAAACTTGTGGTGGGAAAACGGCGGCAAGTTTACATGGAGACAATATTGCCGAGACGGAGGCAATTCTGCAGGTTATGCACGCCAAAGCACTGGCGTTAAGAATTCTCTCTGACATCGATATGTGGTCGGAAATACAACCCATATCCGGCCATTATTGCCCGTCACTCATGTGCATTATGCAAATGCATGGGTTGTATTTGCACCTTGAACGGTCTGCGTTACTTACGTACTTCAGTAACGGACAAAAATCAAAATGCTATAATTGTTGTCGAGGCCCGCAATAAAATTGCAAAAAGTGGGGACATTTTCTCTGATAAATTTGATAATGTCATAGCGACATAGATTTGATAATGTCATAGCGATAATTCTGTAACCGACAGAATGAAATCAAGAGCTGCAACTGCAATACCGTTGAATTGGGCCACTATACAGTACTAAGGTCGCCCGGTACGGCCTGCGATTAACCTTGCGAATGTGAAGTCCCATAACTGAACTTGTGTCCCGTTAATTACTACAGCCTCATTGAAATTTTTTGAAACTTTATAATCTTTTAGAAACGTTAAAGGTCGCATATCGGTTTTATACATCGTTCCGTAAATTCGCGGCTTTTCCAACCAATTAGCTAAAACGCATGAACACTAGCTCGTTCACTCCCCTATCTCCACAATTGCCTGATACAAGTGAATAACCCATGGAACTTTACTTAATACTGTAAATTATGTTCTTCTTGACTACTCCTTTCAAGCCAAACTTGTTAATTAAATGCAGTTTCCAACAAATTTAGAAGGTAGCGTTGCGAGAAAAAGGTAGCCTTGCAGCACGTTTTTCACTATTCTCGTACATAGTTTTGTATAATATGCGCTTTTCGTTATTCCACAATGTACTACATCCTGTGCGAACCAATACCGCCAAAGTAGCGGAAATTTTGCAAGTCTCGCTCCGGTCTGCCAATGCACGCCAAGGTGCATTTTTCTTGTATTTTAGTTCCTATGGACAATCATGTCTTGCTGGTTTCTTGCGGTAATGCGGAAGACAGAACCGGAAAGGACATTGAACAAATCAAAAACAGTGTTGCCATCTCTGGTCACATTTGCAGTGATTATGGCGGTATCGATTAATGCCAGCGCATTACTACGTAAAAACGTTGTAAAACGAGTGGGTCGGTTATTTTGTTTACGCTCGTCAGCGATTGATATATTGTGAATTTTTGCGCAAGTGCTCATATCATTAAGAGTTTTTGCATTGTGCTAGATCTTTCGAAAAAAATATTGGTTTTCGGATCGAAATAACTATCTTTGTCTTGGGCATCTGGAAATGGCTGGATTGCTGTCGGTCGGTAATGCCGATAATAACCTTCTTATTGATTACCCTTATGCACCTCTAAGGTTGCAAGGAAGGTGTTTCTGTAAACCGAGCCATGTTATTTACAGTGTAGAGTCAGTATGGCGGTGTATAAGTTTTCCGATATATTAAACAAAATAATAATTATATTTTTGTTGACTATAGTGTATTTGTCTTATTAATCGAAGCTTTGTTAAATCAGCTGGCCTGACTGACCGCTGTAACTTTTTAAACAATTCGAGAAAAAAACACCTTTCAACGCTCCGTACCTCGTATGCCATGGATCGGCTGGTACTTGCCCAGTTTCTACTCTGTATGCTGTCACATTGTACTTGCGGTGCAGGTTTATATCTCTCCACCACATGCTTTCTTCTGTGCCGGAAGTAAAAAGGTCAAGGTTGCATATTGCACACACACTTGGAAAATAATTAATATAAATTTGATACGAGTACAAACTCCGTAGACTGGATCGCGGGGTTCTATTTTCCTGGTGGGTGTAAAAAAACTCACACTCGTTATTATACTTTTGTTATTTTTTTGACTGTTTACATTTGTGCAGGATGTCTGTGTGCACTCTGTAGGTACAGTAGTCTCATGGTACGTAGGTGATAACCATATTTAAGATATTATTATATCGATGCATTAGCACATCTGATTTGCAATTGGCAGTATTCGTGTATTAATAACATTCATGTTCAGAGGGGCAAATTAAATACGAAATTTCGATTCAAATTTCGATTTTGTTTAAAGTCTAGCTAAAAAATAAATATCTATATGTGTTACAAATGGTTCATTATAACGAAAAACTGCTTAGCCAGCTTAACGTAACACATCGTATTATTGTCTCTGAAATCTGTTGCCAAAATACAATTTCAGGCCGAGGCGGCAAGAACTGTATATGTTGCACCCATCCTAAATATATCACGCGTGACTCTAATCGAATGAATACGCGGTAAACCCAACTCCGGAGGAAGTAATACCCTACACGTACCGTCTAAATATTAATTTCGACCGCGTTACATAAGATTGTATGTGACCTTCACCCATCCACAATTCTCTGTAAAATGCATCAAGAGGCGCGAAATATAATACCTTTAAGGAGAGCAAAAAAAGTGCAAATCTTTTGAAAACAGCGCGTCAACCGCAGGTAGCACTGCTTCCCTCCATCGCGCCTGCGATTCATGCTGGCAGGTAATCTAGATTTCTTTATACCTCGAGAGACGGAATGATTGTATTAATCCACCCACTTATAGTTAATCAACATTTATGCATTTGTGCGTTGTACTGTGTACATACTTTACATGTAGAAAAATATTGCATTTATAGAGGAAGCGTCGTAATAATACATACATATGTATCGCTTACGACTAACACCGCCTACACGGGAAGCGTATTGCATACGTATATGGCGCACATCCTTTGTGCTGTGCGCCGGTCGTGCCTACCGAAGGCTGTTTATGGACCATCGTTTATCAATGCGCTTATTTATCATATACGTGCATATATAGAGGAAAGCACGATTAGAGCAAACTTAAATCACAGTGATTTTTGAAGATTTCATTTTCCAGCGTTCAGAAAAGTATTCATTTTATTAACTATGAGTATGCACTACTGCCGCACATAATGGGGAAGCCTTATTTTATTCGATTACTTTTCGCATTGGCATGTCTGACTTATTTTTGTTCCGGGATTCAGCTAAATATTGTTACCATCTCGGCATCTTCGAATGCCGGTTCCGGTGTGGAGCCGATGCAGAGCGCTTTTGCTGTAGCCATGGAGGATATGATCATAAAGTATCCGCGATTATATCAGAATCACACCAGAACTAATCTCACTCTTAAGGAAAACGTCTGCAAAGATTATGAATGGACATTTCCTTCGAATGTTTCCTCGTGGTATGGGAAGGGTTATTTTGATAGACCTGGACTTACCATTATACTGACATCAAGTAAGAGTTACTGAAATCATAATTAGCTCGATCTCAAGATGATTTGCTAGCAGATTTTCGAGCACCCAGCGGATCGCTTGGCGAATAAAACTGTTTGATTCAAATGGTTATAATCTTTATTATGCACGACACTTAGGTATCAAAAATCTTCCCAATGTTTCTTCATCTTTTGACGCTTTGGTTGACAGATCTCATGAATCAGATCCTGTTATAACAAAAGATTTCATCCAGAACCAGATCCTGTTAAAACAGGATCTAGTTCTGGATGAAGTCTGCGAACCAGTGCGTCAAAAGATGAGGAAAATTGTGGGAAGATTTTTGATACCAAAGAAGTTGTCGTGCATAATGGCAGAATAAAGTTATAGCCATTTGGAATCAAACAGTTTCGTGTATTCGCCGAGCGATCCGCTGGATGCTCGAAATCTGTATCCGTTTGTGCTCGCTGGGCGAGCGTACGAAATCATGCCTTCGGATCGGGTAGGACTGCGGAAATGGATGTGGCCGGAATTAAAACGTCTTTCTCGATCTAAAAACTTTAACCAGCCGTTGGGCGTCATCAAACCAAAATGTATTCAGCTGTGTGATGTACAGGTAGCCGACGGCTACGCAGTAATTTTTCGCAATTATTCGCAAGTAATTGTATTACTGTATATTCCGATGGCTACATACATGCCGCGAAATGCACGCAATATTTTTCCGATTAGTTTGAAATTATCGGCACGTACAGAGCTCGAGTAGTTACCAAATCGTTCAAACTTCAACACGAGCAGTACGGTTTACTAAATCGAAACCGAAGCATGGAAAACACCGGAACAAACGCTAAAGTGGAGGTTGCCAACAGAAATGCGCATGTCAAGATTAGTTTTTACTGCAAAAAATAATGTTAATGGCATCTACTGGAAGAGAAATTATTTGCAAAATTATGTATACTGAATAAAAACTATAAGGTAATACAACTGTTGCAAATGCATTCACAGTTGGCATACCGTAACCAGAATTACTACCATACAACTATATAAATAACGTAACTATACGTTAAAAAATCTGTGGCATACTTATTTCAAACTTTAACGGTGGTACTGCTGCAGATGTAATTAGGTATGCAGTCTGTAGTTTTCTGTACCAATACTAATTTTTGTTTATGCAATACCTTTCAGTATGCAATCTTGTGGCATCATACATTGGTGATTTTGCTCGAGGTGAGAAAAGCCTATCATTTCCTGGGTTAGTACACATATGTACACATTCTTTGTTTTTGATACGAATACTTAAGTATGTATAATCACTCCATTGATTATCCCGTGATTACACAGTGCTGTCTCTTCAATTTTTTTATATTTTCCCCTGTAGAAATGGCTATTCCAACAATGGCATGGTAAGCTCTGACAATCAACTTTATCGAATAAATTGTCAATTAACAGTACAATGACCAGATACGTGAACGTACAGTACACATCGTATACGCCGATATGCTGTACAGTCTGTATATGACGTTGCGCTGTCATAGTGCCACCGGCTTTCCTGATAATCCCCGCTACAGCACCGTGATATCGTTGAGCCCGGGGTCCATCCAGAATTATGCACAAGCACTGGTGACGCTGATGAAGATGAACAACTGGACATACATCAGTCTGATCCACGACAATCTCACCGGTGTAGTGGAAGCGGGGAGACCCGTGGCCATTACGACCATGTTCCGGCAGGTTTTTAATGCCAATCTCAAGATTGTTAACTGCAAATATTTCACCACAGATTCCGTAACCTCTTCCGTGGACGATCTGCGCTATGTAATGACACAAGCCAGTCAACATTCACGCTGTAAGTTAAGCCATTCAATCAGTCTACTGCAATATAATCACAAAGGTCATCCTTATAAAGAAACTGTCGTTACTTTTAGTGATCATAATTAGCACCTTGACGATTCCAATGCGGAAGCTTCTGGTACGGTAAAAACACGTCTTCTGCTTTTAGCTGAATCAACTGACATAATTCCAAGCGCTTTTAGGCTGCGGCTTACGATTTGAATATGACGAATGGCGATTATGTAAGTTTTTCATCTCAGTAGCGCCTCGATACTCCAGTGCGCAGATAAATGCTGCAATCAGACTGCTTGGTAGAGTATGTACCGAGTGAATTCTTAACAAATTTATTACATTAAAATTATAACTGTGCAGGTTTTCTTTTGCATTTACACGTGGCAAGTTCCCGGCGAGGCGCCGTTGACTTGGAATAAAAATGATAGTCTGGATGCGGTAAACATTAAAAAACCACAATTTTTCTTCTAAGTCACGGCCTATAATTACCGATCTTTCCCGTATTTCTCAGAAAGTACTTGCGGTAATGAAGAGTGTCATTATTCTCACTTCACCTCTGACCAATTGGCCGCGATGGAACGAAACGGGAGTTAGAGTCAACCGATTTCGAGAGAGAACTTTCAACACATCTTACGATGAAGAGAAAATTGTACGTAGGCTGATACTAGTATCTGTATGTACCGTATGTACGTGCCTGAAGTTAAAAAAAAAACCTGCTTTCAGTATAACGACTTCGCCATTACTTGCTACGGTGCAGCAGAACTCATCTCTCAGGTGATAAATCATTTTTTTTAAAGTAGAGACACAATTATTTTTTGTACGAGTTCTAGTTAATAGGTTCTGGATGAGATTTTGACGGAAGACCATATCCCCGAAGATGGCAAAGCCTTTACGTATGACGCCAACTTTAGCCCACAGCAACTTATCCAAAGAGTATCACATCGCACCAATCAGCTGACTTTCGAGAATATCACTTTCGTTCCGGGTTCTGGATGGCGGGTTCCCGACATCATTCTGCAACAGTTCAATACGACCACCAATAGTTTTGATGTCCGTTACTTCTCCCATTTCAAATATTATTCTCAATATTACACAGTGGCATTTCTGACCGGATATTATTATAGTGTTTGATATCGTTTTGTAGGATGTGTATTGGTATGATACGCAGCGGTCAAAGTTTTTGCCTGCCCCCGGCAAAAACCGCCCATTAATTTGGCCGTCCGGTGTACCGCCTCGTGATCGACCACTCTGTGGACTGACTGGAGAGAAATGCGTCCAGGTCTCCAGCAGTGTGTTGGTGATAGCAGTCGTTGTTGCGGTGTTGTTAATATTATCAGCACTTGCCGTGACCGTTGGATGCATATGGTAAACAACGCTAGTTGCTAGCAATATACAATATAAGTAACCGTTTTATTGGAAATTTTCTTCACATAATTCAGTAGGACCTTGTTAGTATGCTGTACTTAACTGCAGAAGCAATAATTCACCGTGCTGACGTAATCGAAAATAATTATGAACTCTAAAAACAGGTATCAGAAAAACAAAAACGATGACGATCAGGCATGGTGGCTTATTGAAGATCCCCATAAGGCAGGCGACAGTATGGCTAAAGACTTGGATAACCTCAATTATTCCAAAAAAACTTCTCGATCGCCTCAGCAGATCTTGCTGAGGGATGGGCGTTTGGCGTTTGAGCAGCCACTGGAGTGGAATCTCAGGTGGAAACTGGTCATATCCAGAAAGCTGATCAAATACTTAAGCCAAGTAAGTCCTGCAATGCAAAGCTACAGTAATTGGGCAAAGCTAATTAGTCACATCCATAGACGTACTCGTGCTACTAGTGTTTGTGCTAGTATTTGTTAGAGCGCCTAAGAGCGGAGCATCGTTTGTATTGTGTGTTGAACATGATGCTTATTACTTACTGTGTGCGTATATCTCAAATTTTGGATTTATTTACCGCTTTTATCGATATCGATGTTCACAGGTGCACAAAGTTCATCATCCAAATGTTGCTTGCATGTTCGGCTTGGGATTTGTAATGAAATTTCCGTACGTTTACTACGAATGGTGTTCCAAGGGATCGATCGAGAAGCTGCTGAAAACGTTTAATGTCGACCACATATTAAAATTTGGCTTGTTAGAAGGGTTCAGTCAGGTAAATTCTGACGATAAAACAGCTTCATTTCACTGCTAGCATTATTTGGCTTCGGTCACATAGGGCTTGACCTTTATTCACCAATCCCCAATTCATTGCCACGGGAATCTCAAAATGTCGAAATGTGTTGTGGACGCTCGTTTCATGCTGAAAATAACAGACTATGGTCATGAGAAATTGTGTAGCTTACTACTCGGAAAAGAGATCGAATATCCAGCGAAAACCTCATTCTTCCCAAGTCATCCATGGATGGCACCGGAAGTGCGGAATGGGCAGATGCCAACACAGGACAGTGATGTGTTCGCATTCGCTATCATCATTCACCAGATTCTAATGGAATGCGAGCCATTCGGCGCGGATCTGCCGGAAAAAATTGCCGACAAACGAACCGGTATATACAGTATAAGTAAATTTTTATGTACGGTATATGTACCGGTATTCGTGTGATATTTGCCATATTTCCAGCGGCGCTTTTACTTTGTTTAATGAATAATTTTGATAAAGCAAAACGACTTAAATAATTCTACAGAAAACTTGCCGGAACTTTTTCTTTCGACGATAACACCGCTGATTCGTGAAGCGTGGAACTTCAATCCAAAAGGCCGGCCAAAATTGCGTAAATTTGACCGAGCCATCCGATTGGCCAGCACGGCTGAAGGCATCCACGGGTCCCTGGTAGAACGCATCTTCATACAGTTGGCGAGATATTCCATTAAGCTGGAACATGATGTTGCCGACCGGACGTCACAGTTGAAATCGGAAAGGGAAAAAGCCGATCAACTACTGCGGGAAATGTTGCCCCAGTAACTGCTTTCATTTTCAGTATAGGTACTTTCCATTACTGGTATTTTACATCACGATTTGGGATTTTATTTCAGAGAAATCGTGAAAAAGCTGCGGAACGGACTTCCCGTAGTACCTGAGTACCTGGAATCAGTCAGCGTGTATTTCAATGACATGTGTGGATTCGCTGAGTTCGTGACAACCGTCGCGCCGCCGGATGTCGTGAACTTTTTGCACAGTGTATATTCCGCCTTTGACAAGTCGGTTGCCGGTTTTTCTGTTTACAAGATGGAAACAATTGGAAGCAGTTATATGGTAAGGCAAAGCACTGATGTATGTTATGTATATAAATATGCAAACCGAGAAGGATGGCATAATTGCAACTGAATGCTAAGAATGCTCTGCTCTGGGCTCGAAATAAGAGCAAACACGTAAGATGAACACGCGGCAATGACCTTTGCGTAGTAATTAATTTGAGTTGGGTTTGTTTAGGCAACGAGTGGAGTAGTAGAACGCATAGGCGACAAGCACGCCCAGCAAATATGCATGGCTGCTCTGGAAATTCAAAACGCCTTCGACCGCTTGTCCAACCACAAACACATGGCACTTATCAGTGGAATTCACAGTGGTCCAGTCGCTGTGGGCGTGGTGGGACTGAAACGCCCCCGTTATTGTCTGTAAGGTCATCCATACGATGGAAGAACTCGGACACAGACCAATGAGCATTTGTCTCATTGATAGATTTGGTGACACGGTCAACACTGCGTCGCGCATGGAAAGCCATGGAGCAGCAAATATGGTCCACGTTAGCTCGGATACGGTACATTTGGCATCGGCAACTGGTTTGTTGTTCAAGAACCGGGGAGATACTAACATCAAGGTAAGACAATGAATACCAGCTGCTAGCCAGTATAGACATAAGTACCTATGAAACCGTTTTATTGTTTCTTGCATATGTAACACATGTTTCTGCCAGGGAAAGGGCATTATGACGACTTACTGGTTGCTGTCACCCGAAGGCTGACGATTAAACATACAAGAATGGCACAGCCGTGACACTGGACACCTGCTGAACGGAACTCATTTAATCTTTTCTCTATTTCATTCACTTCATGTAGCCAATGGAAAGAAACGGTGGAATAAAATATCTCTTAATCTCAACAATAATAACATTATAGTTAAACTCTTATACCTTCTCTATGGTTTTTCGTCTTTGTTAATTATTAAAGTCCTTGAAAAATGTTTAACTGTATTTTTAATTATATTTATTGGAGCAAAGTGTTTTTGTGCCGCAAAAGCTATACGAATTCAATTTTTGGTATTTATAATTAAAGGTAATAATTAAAGTTTTAGCCTGTAGGTTCTTTCGCATGGAACAACCCAATATCGTGCAGCTCATGAAATATGCAATCTTTGTTAGCATTCGTATTGTACTTGTACTTTGTATGCAATTCTTGCATTGTACTCATGGTCAGTTTTCAGCAGTATATTATATGTACAGTACAGTATCAGGTTGTTAACGGACACTGGAATGTACGTAGTTTTTGTTTTTAGTGTAGTAATATTTCCGATAAACAGACAGTTCCGTGTGGTTGAAAGGCTGCAGGAAAACCTGTGCAGCTGATTTTTTACGCATTGAGGACAGGCTTCATTTTTGTGCATCGTACACAAAACAGTGTCATAAAATACTCTGCAGGCAACGATCGAGGCTTAGGTATGTCCATAGTGTCCGAGAACTAAAAATCCCCACGTGCGACCGAGTACACCGCCACTATGGAACATGTGCATGCAGCTGATGCGTATGCAAACTGCAAAGCACCCAACGCTGCAAATAATCGCTATCGACAGCTACTGTGCTTATTGGATATCAATCCATCGGCGATCTCATACACACCGTAGGTAAGAAGTGCCCAATGATACCGTGTAAGGTACATCGTACTAAAGGATCAGGACCATCTTCCACCTGGAACTGAAGGCATGTTCGATATTTCTTTGAAACTAAGTAGCACAAGTGGTCGATGAGCGGGAAAATTTACATCGCAGCCAATTACAGAAAAGCGGAGGGCACAGATGCTAAAGCGTATTCGATCAGCTGATTAATCAGTCGCTTTCCAGAATTGAACGATTTACGAGTATTGATGAAGTGGAGTTCCTCGAACAGGACTTATTTTTTTACATGCCCAAGCGCAGTCTACCAACATTCATGAAACATGCATTTGCGCACCTGTTTACACCTTTCGGTGTAATCAATGGGAGTACGTTGCTGTTGAATGGTTGTAACCTAAACTGGACAGAGTTTTAAGCCTTTGTGAAATCTGCACAAAAAGTTTTAGAGAGTAACGGGGTCATTACTAATTTAATTTACTAATTTTTCGTTTTTTACGCGTGTTTTGAGCCTACCAAGCGTGCTCGGGTTTGTGGATAAAGTAATGCTAGCAAAACGCACCATTTTCTTGTGCCATTACGTCGCAACATTTTCTCTGCTGTACGGATGCTCATGTATCCAAGTCAACCTAGTCACCATCTCAGCGTCCAACACCACCGGTCCGGGTGTGGAGCCGATGCAGAGCGCCTTTGCCATCGCTGTGGAGGATATGGTGAAGAAGTATCCTCACGTGTACCGCAACTATACGAAAACCGACTTAACCAATAGCTACGATGTGTGTAAGGATTATGAGTGGATGTTTCCGCCCGAGCTGGCAGCGTGGTATGGGAAAGGCTATTTTGACCGCTCTGGACTGACCATTGTACTGACATCAGGTACAACGCATTGTATAACTAAGATAACCAATGCTTGGTTAACGATTTAATCATCCAAATCTTTGTGATTACGTCATCATGTCATGGACTATATATAGCTAAGTTTTATATAGCATTGTTGGTTAATACTGATACTACCTAAAGTACGCTAATGTCACTTACTGAACTGCTATTGCAGTCTGCAATAACGTTGCCTCGTACATTGGAGATTTCGTACGAGGTAAGCAAAACTTAAGTGAGGATAGCGTCTGTCTTGAGTACCACTACAGTACCTGCATTAACGTTGTTAATTTACTAAATACTTTTTATGTGTTTAGAAATGGGTTTGATTACCGTCGCATGGTAAGTTAGTAAGGCAATAGATGGCGCAATTGGGCTATAACGGTTTTACGGGGACCTTCGATTTACATGCCGGGAAACGGAATCGATTGATGTTTTACGGTTATTTCCACACCTACAGTGCTACTGGTTTTCCCGTTGATAAACGTTATCCCACTGTCATTTCACTGACAGCTGGCGCTCCGCCAAATTTCGCACAAGCCCTGGTGACCTTGATGAAAACGTATAACTGGACCTACGTTAGTCTCATTCACGACAATCTGGGCGGTGCGGTGGAAGCGGCTCGTGCCGTGTCAACGACAAAGGCCACCCAGTTCATCTTCGAGCGCAGCAAGAGTATTGTTAACTGCAAATACTTCACGACGGATTCCGCTGTGGCCTCAAAAGCGGAGTTATACGACGTTCTGGTACAAGCCAGCCGGCATTCGCGTTGTAATATTTCCTGATTTAACACCACAATGTCGCGCACATCTGTCTGCAGAATCTTTTTTGCAGTGATTATGATAAGCACGTTGGTGGTGCCAATGCGGAAATTCCTGGTATAGTACCATTCCTTCTTACTGTACTTAATCAATAATTGTGACCGTCCAGGAAACATTGATTTATTGTTATAGGCAGCTGCGTACGATCTAAATATGACAAATGGTGATTATGTACGTCATTCATGCATCCCATAAAGAAGCCTGCATTGATAATGTAAAGAAGCCTGTATATGTACATTTTGCAGGTGTTCCTGTACATTTACACATGGCAGGTCCCCGAGGAACCACCACTGTTCTGGCAAGAAAACGATGAATTAGATCCAGTAAGTATTGCTTCTACTCTGTAAAGACGCATAACCTTGATCTAATTCAGTTGCACAGAAAGTGTTAAAAGCAATGGAGCGGGTGCTGCTTTTTGCGTCTCCTTTGTCCGACTGGCCGAGATGGGAAGATACCGGCAACAGAATTAATCAAATACGCGAGAAGATGTTCAAAACACCCATCGATTATGAGAATATAGTAAGCATTAAGGAACAGATGGACATCATGTCCGTATATCGAATATGAGCACACGATACTTAACGGTTAATTAGATAAAAGGTAATTTGTCGCTCAGTGTATATATCCATATTGTATTGTATGTATTGTACATGTTCTTTTCTATTGTAGCACAACGATTTTGCAATAACATGCTACGGAGCAGTGGAAACCATTTCCCAGGTATTTGAAGGTTATTCTTTAGTTCACTTCCGACCGGAATGAACGCATTCAAATCAGAAAAAGCAGATGTACTTAATAAACTACAGTGCGCCGTCACCGCTGATCAAATTAACATTTAGTAAGTATGTCGCGACAATTTAAGTATTTTTGCTTTCATATGCGCGCAGGTTTTGGATGAAATTTTGGCGGAGGACCATATTCCCGACAGTGCGACGTCGTTCACGACTGACAACTTTAACGCGCAAAGAGCAATCCAAAAAGTTTCTCACAGAGTCAATCAACTGACATTTGAAAATGTTACCTTTATGCCCGGCACTGGATGGCGCCTTCCGGCTGTTCTTGTTCAACAATTCAACACAACGACTAAAAGCTTTGATGTTAGAATATTAAAAAAATTGGACTCTTTTCAGTATTGAATTCAAAAGTGGTGTTCTAGGACATATACTGGTACGATGCTCCACGTGGCCAGTTGGTATTTGCTCCCGGTAATCACCGTAACCTTTACTGGCCAGCCGGTTCACCGCCGCCCGATCGCCCTATCTGTGGATTTGAAGGAGAGAAATGTGCGCGTGCACCGCGGATTCTGATCATTGCCGTATGTGTGGCCAGCATACTGATGGTGCTACTTATCAGTATGACGATTGGATGCTTGTGGTAAACACTTTTTTGAACTATATATGCAAGGAAAATTTGATTAATGACACTGGAATGCCTTAACATGCTCTAAACACGGGCCAAAAATCGGGAAGAACTTAACTACTGTACTGCTCTGCGATGTGCATTTTGCTGCAGCTATCAAAAACGAAAAGCAGAGAAAGATTGGACGTGGTGGGCAGTCGAAGACGCCAAGAAAGTTGACGAAGAGGGGGATATCCAAGGAAATCCTGCCAACCTTAATTCATCAAAAGTTAAGCCTTCCCCCCATCAAGTCGTCCTTAGAGATGGCCGTTTTGCGTTTGAACAGCCGTTGGAGTGGAATTTGCGATGGAAAGTTGTTGTATCAAAAAAACTTATCAGATACCTGGCCCAGGTAAGATACGAGTACCTCGTACTTGCTGTCTCTTTCCCATCTGCACATGCACAGACGTTTTACGTCGTATTACCTACTTTGCTCGCTTGGTTTCGATTAGGTGCATAAATTTCATCATGCCAACGTTAATGCTATGATCGGCCTGGGATTTCAGTCAAACTTCCCGTACATTTACTACGAATGGTGCCCTAAAGGATCTGTTGAAAAGCTAATAAAAATGCATAATGTGGATCGAATCCTTAAATTGGCTTTACTGGAAGGATTCTGCCAGGTAACGCGGTATTGTTTTAGCATTTATATACACGTGTGCCCAAGCCTTTCTTAGCAATTAAATAATTTTAGCGGTGCATCATATTCGAATTTATCAGCAATAATGTTCAAACGTATATACACCTTTACAGGGCTTGACTTTTCTGCATTCGTCTCCGCTTCACTGCCACGGGAATTTGAAAATATCCAAATGTGTCGTCGATGCACGCTTCACTTTAAAAATAACCGACTACGGCCATGAACGCCTATGTAGCTTTTTGATGAATAAAAAACTGAATTACCCAGCAAAGAATTCATTTTTTCCCAGCCATTCATGGATGGCACCGGAAATCCGTGATGGTCAGCGTCCATCGATAGAAAGCGATGTATATGCCTTTGCCGTCATCACGCATCAGATCGTAATGGAGTGTGAGCCCTTTGGTAGTGATCTGCCCGAAAAACCAGATGCCAAGCGCACCGGTACCTACAGCTGTTACTAATCGTTACAGTTACTATAGTTATAAATGTTTTATAATTTGCACATATATATAGATATAATTGTTTTGAACGTTGGCTTTGATCAACCAGGAAATCTGCCAGAGCAATTTGTTGCGTCGATAACCACATTTGCTCGCCAAGCATGGGACGTCGATCCCAAACATCGCCCCAAACTCCGTGAGCTCAGCAAAATTATTCACGATACCAGCGCTGCGGAGGGTTTGCGAGGATCGGTTGTTGAACGGATTGTTAAGCAACTGGAACGTTATTCCGTTAAGCTGGAAGGCGACGTATCTGATCGCACATGGCAGTTAAAATCGGAACGGGAAAAAGCCGACCAGCTCCTGCGAGAAATGCTTCCAGAGTAATATTGTATTGTAAATTATGGATTGACCTTTACGTTCTCCATGTAATCCTGCGTTATTACAGAGAAATTGTAAGAAAACTGCGCAACGGAATTCCTGTGGTGCCGGAATACGTTAACTCCGTCAGCATGTACTTCAACGATATGGTTGGATTTGCCGAATACGTGAAAACGGTTACGCCGCATGATGTTGTTAATTTTCTACATCGAGCATATTCCACGTTTGACAAAGCCATTTCGAATTTGTCCGTTTACAAATTGGAAACTATCGGAAGCAGCTATGTGGTAAGATGTTGTACGCATAAACTTTGCAAAGCTAAGCATGGAAAAAAAATTAATAATACCGATATTTATTAATATGTACTTGAACGGAACATACCTACTATTTACTACTATACTACACATAATGTACCTACGTACTACAGTAGTCATTACTTTATACAAATATATGCAGGCAACAAGCGGTTTAGTGGAGCGGATAGGCGACAGTCACGCACAGCAGATTTGTATGACCGCTCTTGCAATCCAGAACGCATTTCTCCAGCTACAAAATCGTGGGGACATGGCACTGATTAGCGGTATTCACAGCGGACCTGTGGCGGTGGGAGTGGTTGGCTTGAAACGCCCTCGTTATTGCGTGTAAGACTGCGCGAGCACATTTGCTGTTCTTTGCCTTGACCTTTTGCAATCCCGCTTACATCGTTGGTCATTGTTAGTACATAACTCACTCACATCATTATCATAGCAATTATATGCCCTATAATACACAGGTTTGGCGACACGATTAATACAGCGTCCCGAATGGAAAGCAACAGTATTCCTAACATGATTCATGTTAGTCCTGACACGATGCAGCTGGCTTCACCGTTCGGGTTTACATTCAAAAGCAGAGGAGGGATTCAGATTAAGGTACGCACTTTAGTAAGATCTTCGAAGTTACGCGCTTCAGTAAAGCAATCAGTTTACTAGAATAAGTCTATTTCGGTACTTGGATGTGCAGGGAAAAGGCCTTATGGAAACCTATTGGTTAGTTACGGATGAAAGCAAGACGATGGAGGACATTAAGGCCGACGAGGGGGGACATCAGCATTAGGACAATAGTCTTCATAACACATTATTGTTCATTGTTCGTAACAAGCACCGTTACTGAGCACGTCGGCTGCCGTTAATTTGTGTTATCGAATTTAACGCACACATAGTTATAGTATTATTGTATATACGTAGCTAAAGAGTTGTAGAGTTATTAGAGTTGCTTCTTAAGCTTCAAGCTAGCTTTTACCAATTTATTCAGAATTGTTTGTACTTGTAATGTATATTGTACAACTTCGTTGCTGACAGGGCATATCTACAGTATATGCGCGATATGAAGTGCTGCAACAAACTACGTTTATAACTGAAACGCTGCGACATCTGCACATGTACATACAAGTGCCTGACGTGGATTAAAAACTGATTTTTGCTGGAAACTGAAACCGTATAATCTTTCTCTTTACTATGCCGCTACGCACTTTTCTTCGCGATGTACATGTATCTTCACTAAAAAACTGCACGTAAAATTAAATTGCTTACAGATTAGTAGTTCTATCATTTCTCTGCGACTAGCGATACGAGTGCAATATTAAAGTATGATTATTTAATCGTAAGGATCATTATGCCCTTAATAAAAAAGTACAAAGTACTTACTTACTTACTTATATCGTACAAAGTACTTACGATTATATCTTATCGATAGTTGTTAACGTTAATAAAGGACATGCACTGATTTGTGCCGCAGCTCAGTGTTCTGGGCAGCGGCCACACAGTGCACGCACCGTGGAGCAGGCTTGCCCGCCTGCTCAGTGCTCATTATAATAGGAACATTTTGTCCCAAACTGCTCGCGATAGAAGTTATGAAAAAAGCGACTAAAAACAGTTATGGGATTTCGTCTTCGTTCTTCCAAAGTTCTGAACTTCGATAACTGCGTCTGCAGCTTTACTTGTCTCATTCTGGCGAACAGTTGAGAATCTAGAGCTCAATGATTTTGATTTTTCTAGTAAAATTTTTGCTGCATATTCTCGTGCTGTTAAAAGGTTACAAGTGAGCAGGAAAACTGGAAAAGTAAGAATGTGTCGAATTCTTACAAAGCGTCGTCTGGAGTATTACGCCAATCCCCTTTACGACAAAGTTCCCTTGTTCAAAGAAGGTGCGTCAGTGGTTGGTCTTTTTTGTTGGTAGCATTTGCATAGTGCATACGTAGTGGACAATTGGACATCCCGCAGAACCTGAGCGTTATCTGCAAAATAGCAGCAATTTGGGCTGTGTGGCTTTTTGCATTCAGTTCACCAGTGCTATGATAGTGATTGACTGATTGTGGTTGTACCTGGACGGTGGGTTTGATCACTTTGGAGTCTCATGTGGCGTTTAGCACGGAGAAGGTCTGCAGTTTGCTATTGTTCTCTGTAATCTGCATGCTCTCCGAAGAATGACGATGCCTGTATCCGTGAACACTATTCGTTCTTATCCCTGAGTTCATTCCTGGTTCGCTAATCACACTGCATTTGCTTTCGTAATCGTTTACTGTTTGCGTTGTGACGTTGTCTGTCGTTTGGTTTATCTGCATGAGTAACAATAGTTTCCCTCAGTGATCGTTGCAACACGCTCATATCATGGTGTGCGTTTTAGTAATTCCGCGGTTGCTTGCTTTGCAGGAGATATAGTCTGGGTTTATGAAAAGCCACCCCGTACCTCGGTATGGATGGTGTATGAAGCTAAGGTGCATACAAAATTTCGTCAAAATTTGCGTACATTGATTGTGCTGCTTTGATGTGGTGTTTTACGTGCTGTTGTGCAGATCAAAGCCCGACTGGCGCAGCTAATGCCGCAGTATGACAACTATCTGCGAATGGGAGCGGACATTCCTGTCTACGATGTGGAATTTCAGTGGACAGTGGTGTAAGCGCATTATATGCATTGTCATATAGGTAACCTGGTGTATGGAGTTGCTCGATTGGCGACATACAATTTATCAGTTAACACTTGATTTAATATTTAATTACATTAGTATTATTATCAGCGTTTGGCAGTTAGTTTATCCCATAAAATTCCTCGCAAATACGAAGGATTGTTCGTTTGTACAGGGAAGAGGAGCAACCGGACGATGACGATGTACAAGTGGTGGAACAGCGATTTGTCAACCGATTCTTTGAGCAGCACATCTACGACCCGAAACGACTGACCGCCGAAGAAATGTTCTGCCACGTGGGCATGAACAATCAGAACGTTCTGTACGTGGAGTAGCAGATCGAGGAAAAATGCAATATTCTTTTGCATTTATTTGGCTATCAGCTTTGTTTCTTTCCAATTTAAGGTACAATCTTACGGACGCCCAAAAAGAAGTTATTCCGAAAGAAGGTCTTGTTTTTATCGGCAACACACAATATGCAGAGCTGCTGGCATATCTCGAAAGGTAATTTTAAGAGCTACTCGTATCGAAATCAATATACAGTCGCACATATTTAACAAATGTCTGCTGTACAAGCTTGTCCGGTAATTTCCTACGTAAAGGTACAGCTAGCGCGAAGTTTGCGCTTATAACGATGGCCACTTCACTACGTTTATCAATTTACCTAAATACGCTTCGCAGGCAGATTGTCGCTTACCGCACCGACCATTTTCTAGCCACCTTCCGCCAGGCAGTTACTATTATCCTCATACAATTATATGGCGTGCAACAAGCCAACAGCCAGCCAAATGCATGTTACGTGTTTAAACAGTGTGGCGCCGTAGTGTGAAGTTTGGCGTAACACGCAAATTTGTGTAATTCGCTGTACAGATTCGTCAGAAATTACCGAACAAGCTTGTATGGTAATGCTGGTGTCTTTCATAGATCAGGAAAAATGATCGACCACAGTAGCTGCGATACCGATTTGGAAATAAGCGATGAAGAAGCAGTGTAAGCGTTAGCTGTTTTAAAGTAGTGCACGTGGAGAGTGTAGCTGTGTAGGTGTGATTTGTAGCCAAGAATCCGATGCGGATGAGGAATACCGCGGAAGGAACAAAGGAAATTCGAATGTTTGGAAGAAACGCCGAACTAAGGCGCATAGGTGCGGATTAATTTTAATCCTTATTTATGCATTTGTACTAGAATAAAATTGCGCCAAGTGGCATTTAAGTACTTACTGGTATTTGGATGAATAACTTTCGGCGGTATGTTACGGTCCTCCGCCGTGAGAGCAATGTGCGCGTATATATATACGTCTAACTGCAATGCTGTTCTAGACGAAGACGATCGAAGTCATCTCCGAAAAAGCCATCCCCGCTGAAGCGTAAGTCATGTCCTGCTCAACGTGCAACACTGAAGCAAGAGCCGCAGCTCACTTGGTATTTACTCCTTTTCTTCGTGTTGTGATGGCTTTTTCGGTTGAATTGTTCGTTTTTATTTAAAGGCCGGCAAAACCCGTATGTCCCAAATCCGCCGGAATATTTCCACGCAAGTATGCAACTGTTGTACTCTGTAATGGGTCTTTTTTTAAAATTAACTTTGCCGATGCGAAGCATTGCTTGACCTGACAGTAGTTATGATCGTGTTATATGGAAACTTTTGCAGGAGTATTTTAAAGCCGAGTGCCAGCGATTTCAGTTTGTCCTCTTCGACGTCCGGTGAAACTGATGATGTGGATGTCGTGGAGGAGAGAAGGTAAAATTGGCCTGTAAATGCTGGCGTTCTACCTCGCTTGCGAACGTTGAATTACTTAACATGCGTTAATCTGTACGGTGCAACTGGGAAAAAATTCAGAACCCAGAATCCAGCGTTCATGATAAAATACTGTGTGAATTGTACAGAATATTGCTAAAAAATAAATAACGAAGGCTCACCTGTAGCTATGATTTTCCATATATTACTGCGGTAGGTATTTCGATGGGTTTCAAACTTTTCAGACCAATGCATCAGATCTGTCATAAAAGTTTCGGAGGCGTGAAACCGCACACGTACGTAATGGAGAATTGGAGGTGTCATTCTAGATTTAGATTGGTTGCGCCAATATTTGTATGGTTATGTTGTTCTACTTGCAGGCAAGACGAATTAATCGGCCGGCACGAAAGCGAGAACGATGATGATACTGGAAGCGTAGACACAAACGGAAATGAGTATCCTAAACCGGCAAATCAGGCAAGTGGGGTTGCGTTATTGAAAGAAATTGCGTTATTGGTTATTTTGGCTTGAAACTGCGTTATTGGTTGTTTTGCGAGTCAGACAGGCTGAAAGACTAGCAGAGTTTTGTTGTTTTGTTAGTTAACGGAATGGTACAGTATAAATAGTGTAATCATTTCAGTGTTGATCACAGCAGCTCCTTTGATTTTTATGCATTCTGTCTACCAGGCGATTATGGAACCGGATGTTGCGTCGGAGGGAGCGTCGTCGAATATGGGGCATATGGTTATTCACGGGATCAACGCTGGAGGGAAATCCAGTTCGTCCGGGGGAAGCCGGCGTGGAGGCACCCAGGGTGGTAGGGGAGCGCGCCGGGCCCGTGGACGAGGTGGTCGGAGTACGGCAGCGCTGCCGCGTCGAGCAGCAACCAGCAAGAAAGCCTGCTGTTAATCCGCACTCTCATCAGCATTATACGGGAGATGATCCTTCTTATCTGCGGTGTTGCGATGACAGGCTGATTTTAATGCATGCACGAGTATGCTGTGTGCGTTGCAGTGTCTGGAAATTTTGAATGCTTTTAGAATGAATGCTTGCTTGCTTTTTTGAATGCTTTTGATCTTTCATATGCATCTCGATGTTTACTACTCCCAAATATTTTCGGTATTATTTTTTGAAATTTTTTCAATCATTTATACGTCATGTTTTATGTTTAGCCTGTTTCTCGATGGTGGTCGCATTTTAGTGTAAACTGACGGCATGAACTTTCGTTTTATGGTGTGTCTCAAAAATAAAATTTTTGTGAATGGTTCTCATCTCAATGCAGTTGTCATTCATCCAAAATAGTCCAACCTATACAGTTTAGTAGGTTTCCACACGATAGGAAATCCACCCTTTCCACGACAAAACAAATCCAGATTCCAGTCAAATTTGAACTGAGATTGATATACAAGGACCGCGACATTCTCACCGTAACACCGCGACAAACTCCCCACTGCCAGAAAAAAAATTTTAAATCATCGACCTATGGCAAAGGCCACTTCAGACGTGTCGCTGGATGGCGGCTTCCAGCATCCTTGCGTTAGATCCTTGGAACCGATCGATAGCCACTCCATTCTTGATAAAGACAAAGGTGGGCTGCGTATATACAACAAAGGTCACTAACACGGAAAGTGACTGGAATGCGACTGGAGCAATACGCAAGGCGTGATAAAAAGCTAAACTGACGCTTAATCTGTTAATGAATAACTTATTAAGCTTAATCTGTTTGAACTTCGAACTAACTGCGGCCATTTCATGCATTTAAACCTATAGATTGTGTTCTTCGTGTTAATAATAATTCGGAATTCATGTTCCATTCTTGGTCACAGAACTTTAGTCCAAACAGAACAAATTGTACTTACGTTTTATATAAACTGTACACAAACCATCGACCTAAAACGTACACTCACAGTGGAAGTCACGCCATACTCCGGATGGATATCGCCCGTCTTATCCAGGTCCACCTTGACGAACTGGGCGTTGTTGCCGTACTTCTGAGCCATCTCCTCGTAGGCAGGGGCGATCTTCGTGCAGTTGCCGCACCAGTTGACGTAGAATTCAGCAATGATGAGATCATTCCCCGCTGTGCTTAGAAGACGCTCCATGCTACCCCTCGACGGGATATCCTGCGGGCTAGGCATCAATTTGTAAAGGGCGCGTGAACATACGGGAGTAATAAAAAACGGTATTCAAGCCCGATCGAAACGGCAAAAGTCTGAAAAGTCAAAGGTATAAAAAAAAAAGTGATGAATTGTGGCGCACACCGAGTACTTGCTATTATTTACATATTGCGAACTTCTATTAATTTTACTGTATTAAGTAGTGCAGTGTTAATTATTGACCTCATAAGAACTAGAAACGTACGCCGTGACGTCACCGCTTTCGCATACGTGAAACCGCATTGCGACTGCCTATGGTAACATTACTGATTGTACTGTACAGTACACATGTGCCATTAGCATTCACACAGGCGTATACCATTTTTTCAATTTTTTAGACAAGTTAGACAAGTTTTTAGACAAGCCCTTATCTGGCTGTACATCCCGATTCTTTCCTATTTATAACATCTTTCGCTCATAATACCCAGCTAAAATAATAACTATCACAAAAACTTATTGACATCAAATTCGTCGGCAGATACAAAAAACATCATCAGTTACAAATACAAAAATTAAGGAAAATAACATATTAAGATCTTCCATTCATGTCCGCGTCCGAACGCGTGCGTTTCAACGACGAAGTGGACGGCGAAGGAACCGACGACGAAGGAGAGTCAAATGGTTTCCGCTTTTTCAAACCAGCCATAAACTTGAACGTCGTCTGACACGTCGAGCACATCGGACTGAAGGCACAGAAAACTACAAAGTACAGAAAAATTAGCAAAACAACGTATATATTCACAGTATCACCACAGAAGTAAATGATTCTAACATGGATCACATTCATTAAATTCAAACTATCCTTGCAATAACTTCAACCTACCGGAAAGACAAACGGAACACACCCAACCAACTTCAATAAGCTTCTGATGACAGAAACACGCGGCACGATAATCCACTTGGACTTTCTCGGGGATCATCATCTTACTCCGTTCGCTGGCATCAATCACGAATAAACTCTGCGGGCAACAATTTCTGATGTGGCAAGGTGAATACAGTTTAAATATAGATAGATGCTGGTTAAATGTTTAACTCTAAAATCACATTAAGCATAAGATTACAATAGTTTTATGTACAACAGACAGCAACTGGAGATCAATATTATGCCAACATATCGCGCTTTTGTATTGGCTTTCACCCTAACAAGATTAGTATCCGTTTGAAAAATAACTAAATAAACAAGGACAAAAAGTTATGCCTGCAAAGCAGTAATGCAATGTCGTATTATGTCGTACATTGAGAAGCTGCACCAAACCGCCAGGATGTTCCACTTTGAGATAAATTCCTCCGGTGAGATCCACAGCTTGTTGCAAAAGTATCGAATCATCGCCAAGTATGCAGGCATCAATCTTTACGTTCTATACGCGCACAAAACATCATTAATACACATCTCGAAACAAAGGGATCACAAAATTATACAAAGATTATTCGCAAATTCGCAATGCACCACAGTACCATTTTCTGTGCGGTGAATACTGAATTTATGAAATGCATATAATGGGATGAGCTATCCAGGCCGGTTTCAATAACCTACCAGAAAACCACATATATTGAGCTTCTGCCAAGACATAAATACAAAATGCGATAATAAGGGTAAAAAACCGCGATCGCTTACCACTATTCGCGCTTGAACAGACCGGCCTTTTGGTGCTTCTCGCTGAGCGCGATGAATGTCTGTAGGGAAAAGCACCCATTCTTATAAAAACTCCCTTCGAATTTCTATTCCATAGATTTATGTAATTTAATTACTTAAATATATATAATAGAAAGTAGAAGAGCTGCACGAGTATAACAATTCATCACTGCAGAAGATATGCAAGTTTGATGAAATAATGCAGAAACGCTCTAGGAAACTATTAAAGAAAAAGCGCTTCAACAGTTAAACCGCTGCATTTTAAATTGTTTCAGAGCAAAACAAATCAAACAGCGTCAATTTGCAACATCTTACAGCAAAGAGATCGCGATAAGGCGCCGACGAAGACACTCTCCCGCGTGCTCTCTTTAGCCGCATCCGGATCATTCAGAGATTCCGTCATGATGCGGCGAATCTCCTGAACGATGCTGTGATCGACCACGCGAAACAATTCTGCTCGGCTGTCGTTGACCAGCGGCTCCGGAGACACCACACCCGATGGGTACAGGAAATAACTACAAAGTAAAAATCATGAGAAAACAAAATCAGCCCGAAGACCGAGTCACTGAGCAAACGGTACCTTACTACTGTATGTTGTAAATTTGCAAGGTCAAAGTTCATTTTTTTCATCAAATTCAACAAGTAATCGCAGCTAACATGCACAGCAGCTTTTCACTTAAACAGGAGCATATGACATTTAAATTCCAACGTAAAAAAGCAGATCAGATAAGCAAAACAGAATGAGTCGGGAGTACTCTGCAAAAGTGCAAATTATTTCTAACCAAGTTGACAAAATCCAAAGTTACGTTAATAAGTCGATGTGCCATTTGCGTTCAAGATTAAAAACATAAAAAAGAATACGATAAACACTTAGACAGCACAAATTTCTTCACAAAGCGGAAAAGGCGGACACAATGCCTAAAACCATAATCTAACAAAACAGGCGAAAGCGCAATCATACCTCTGCGATCTCAAACAACCCAGCACAACAACACGGTTGTTGGGATGAATGAGCATGTAGGAATTAAGGTACACCAGGATGTGATCGAGCGCCGATGCGAGGGGAAACTGCAGAGCAATGACATTTCATTTTGCAAGAAATTTGCGTTTTGGAAGCTGTAAGGTAAAAAGATTTACAAAGGTCTGCGAGTCATGGACGCCATTGGGAACTTTCTGCTGATCATCGCCGCCATCCAACTGTTCACTCCACCACGACGCATTCAGATCCAGAATCACCACCAATAAATTGGACAGTGTGTCTGCAAGGTTACTTGATTAAAAGACATCACAGCAAGGATTCTGGTGTAAAGCAGTGCGTCGAAAACGGTACCCGATGTGCTGACGTTCTGTGGTGCAGAACCCAAAACAGACAGTCCGCTCATAGCCATTTTAGCAGATACGATCCATACGATGATACAAGAGATCAATCCAAACCTATCAGACAAACTCACAAACACTACGAATTAAGTCTTCGGTAAATAGTCTGCCCCAAATTTCGACTACAAAATGCATGACTCACTCAGATGACTGTTTTACAAAGAACGCCCGAAAACTAAAAAGCCATCCGAAATAAAAGTTGAAAGAGGCGCAGGCTAAAAAAGCCGTTTTCGACGCTTGCGGAAACACAGCCAGCTGAGACAGTGTGCATTTCCGGTTTGGCTGCTCGTGCTCACTGCACAACCGCCCTCATGACGAAGTTAGATATGTGCCGATCAATGCAGCATGTGGCCTCAACTGGATGCGGCAATCGATGCGGTTACAAAAAATTTAATCAGAAAAATTGTGTATGAAAAAATTTCGCAGTTGAATAAAGACTTATAATTTATAAAGTGAATAAACTTATTTGCTGTTTCCGAGTTTTGTACTTAAATATAGTTAACTTTATAGTGAAATTATAAAGTAACTCGTTCGTGCTAGACTGGCCATAGTCATATCTGGATCTGCTATTCATCCAGTTCTTGATAATCGCTGATCATGGGTCGGAAATCCAAAGCCAATGCAGCGAAATCGGCCAAGAAGGAGGGCTTCAAGACAGGCAGTCACAGCCTCAATCCCGACCGTCCGCAGAGCCATGCGGGACAGCGGGATCGCGGGACCATCAAGCGGCTGCTGATGTACAAGAACTCCAAGCCGCAGCGGGACGCCAAGGGAAAGATCCTCAAACCCGCTCCCTTTCAGTCCAAAGTGCCCAGTGGCACGCAGAGTCGTGTGGAACCCAATCGCAAATGGTTCGGCAATACGCGGGTGGTGGGCCAGAGTGCGCTGCAGACGTTCCAGGAGGAATTAGGTAAGATGGTTGAGTGAATTGTTTTGGGAGGATGGCACGGCATCGGGGATGGTTATGTAGGTAAAGCCGTGAAGAACCCTTACCAAGTTGTCATGCGACCGACTAAACTCCCCGTGACGCTGCTGAATGAGCGCGCTAAACACCAGCGGGCACATCTGCTGGATGTGGAAAAGTACGAGACCACGTTCGGGCCGAAAGCGCAGCGGAAGAAACCCAATGTCAAATTTGAAAGCCTAAACGTGAGTTAAATAAATTTATCGCATTTTACAAACTGCTTTTAGATTTTTCGATTTTTTTGGAATTAAATCTGAAATACCTTTGGTGAAATACGATTACGATTTACCATTTTTGTGGTGTTTTAATGAGTGGTCTTAGGTGGTATGTGCTAAAATCTGCAGTAACAGCGTAATTATGAAAGCCAGTAAATGTGAATTAAATTTAGTCTCTTAACTGTTTGCAGTCTTTTGCAGTTGTGAAATTTTCTTGGTTAAATGCATTAAACGCTTTGCATTAAATTTTCTTGCAGGAGATGCTGTCACAGGCTGAAACATCGGGTGGAGAGTACAGTATTGTCAACGATCGGGACTTAATCGTCGATGACGATGGTACGCGGGATGAAGCCAAGGAATGGGTGATGTATGCGGGACAGTCCAAACGGATATGGAATGAATTGTATAAGGTAAAGCTTCTACCATTGTTTCTCTACCATAATGCTTAACTCCCGTAAGTGCAAATTTCTGAATACTTATGTTGTCATATGCATATTCATAGTCGTTGTGAAGATTGGTGTTAATGCGGATTGCAGCACACTCTGGTATTTTTTGGGGCAGTTTTGCAATATACCATTAAGTTAACTTATTGACGATTGGAAAGAGTTCTTCTGGTTTATGTTTGGGATTGGGTGCAGCTTTTGATTAACCTGTCCTGAAGTTTAAATAATTCGAACTTATTTCCAGTAATTAAGTATTTATTTTTTTAGTTAAGTGGTTTATTTAACGTGACAGTTGTGTTCAAATCATAAACTGCATTGCCGATTTAATTTGCAGGTGGTCGATTCGTCCGATGTCCTGCTGCAAGTCTTAGACGCCCGCGATCCCATGGGAACGCGTTGTCCCGCCATCGAGAAATTCCTGAAAGACGAGAAGCCGTTTAAACACTTGGTCTTCGTGCTGAACAAGTGTGACTTAGTCCCGACATGGGTAATCAAAAAATGGGTGGCGATTCTCAGCCACGAGTATCCGACATTGGCCTTCCATGCCTCCATCACAAATTCTTTTGGAAAAGGACCACTGATTAATCTCCTCCGTCAGTTTGGCAAGCTGCACGTGGATAAGAAGCAGATTTCTGTGGGATTAATTGGTTATCCCAACGTCGGCAAGAGCTCCATTATTAACACTCTCAAAGCTAAGAAGGTGGTTAAAGTGGCGCCCATACCTGGTGAAACAAAGGTGCGTAGCGTACAGCGCTGGGATAAGGTGTGAAAAGACTGTAGTGCGTTGACGTTGAAGTATTTGTCCATCTTCACTACCTTTCAGCAAGCTTTTACACGTCGCTACTAGTAGCTGAGAAGTTAGGTTCGAAGTGAGTTTATGCATTTTTTCTTACTGATAAATTAACAAATAAACGAGAAAATTGGTGTAAAAAATAACATAACTAAATGTTTGTTATAAATCTTAAAATGAATTTTGTTAGAAAGCGTCGTTTTCGTTATAATTTACCGCGTTCGCTTTAACTCTGTTAGCTGAAGTAGCATGGTTTTTGTGGATAATAGATTTTTCGATAGTACAACCACTTCCGGTCGCAAAACACCGAAATGATGCATATTATGTTTGTTCGCTTGCTTGTTACGGCATTTTTACGTTTTCTGTAGTGTTGCTGTTATTTTTGTCGTGCGATTTATAGAAGAGACAACAGTGTTACTTTTCCCATGGTTTGTCAGCTATAAAAATCCGTTTGTTCTCTTTAGGTGTGGCAGTATGTGACGTTAATGAACCGCATCTACTTGATCGATTGCCCCGGTGTTGTTTATCCAACCGGAAACTCGGAGACCGATACAGTTTTGAAAGGTATCGTGCGCGTGGAGAATCTGAAATCCCCCATGGATTTTGTCCCCGCTGTATTGGAACGCGTGAAACCCGAATACATCAAGAAAACCTATTCCCTGGACAGCTTTTCCACATCGGAAGATCTGCTGGAACAGATCGCAAAACGCACCGGTAGACTGTTTAAGAAGGCCGAACCGGACGTGCAGACAGTGGCCCGCATGATCCTCAACGATTTTCAGCGCGGCAAACTGCCTTATTTCGTTAAACCACCGGAAGCGGCGCTTCCTGACGCCCAGGCAGATAATGCCATACAAGTGAAACAGAGTCTGCGCGATCATCCGGAGAATGATGTGTTCGATGAAGAAGACGCGCGGAAGGATGAAGTTATTGAGGAGAATGATGTCGATGATACGGCGGAGACGTTGTTGGAAGAAGTGGTGGAAGAGACACAAGAGGAAGCGGTGGGTGAGTCTGAAACACCGGTGGATGGCGTTACGGAAGAGATTGTCGCGGACGACGCGGAACTTCCCATGGACCCGGACGTGGATGATTTAGCGACCGCTAAACAGAGGAAATTTGAAGAGGAAGACAAGGCAATGGGGAAAGATTTAACTGGAAAACAGAAACGGAAGAAAGAACGAATGGAGCGCCAAAAGAAGGTTGGGGTACATTTTTATGAGAATGTCGATGTTAAAAATAGAAAGAAAGGAAAGAGTGTTGCGCCTAAGCCAGTTTCGAAGCGACATCAGAAACGCGTGTGAGAATATTGCTATACGAAGAGGTAAAATACAGTAGTTATATTTTATCTGTTAAATGTTTTAAGAACTTGTGGTGTGCGAGCAGTTTATGGAACCAGTGGACATATTAAAGCGCTCTGGAACAATGAGTCTGAAGGCGAAGAATCTTTTGCAAATAGGGATTGCGTAGCCCTTACCATCGTTGGTGTGATTGAAAGTTTAAACTACAAATTTAAAATTAGTTATCATGACCGTAAACTTGAAAATTCACAGTGTAATAGCATCAAATCGATACAAAACATCACAAAGATTTTTAAATTGATAAAAATTCCAATCCTACAGTACCCATGTGTTTATGTTATTTACGTGCATCTGGCAGTCTTTCTTAAACTCTTTTCACTCACTACCATACTGTAACCGGAAAATACAGAAAACAATCGCTTAATTTATTACGCAGTTCATTACAGTCATAATTAACGTCATTGCACGGTACATTTCCACGTGTACACTGGAGAACCAAAAAGAATCCGATCTTTCACCTTACTTCTGTATTTTGTATGTACTACAGCTACATAGTACCAGTTTACAGAAGGTACATGTGTAAACAACTAGCTGGAAAACAAAATCGAAACGCAACGGAACACTACGCATATTCAAAAAGAGAGACAACCGAACCCCGTCCAATCAATACACCCCCGCACTAAGTACGTCCGTAACACCCGTACCATTATCCGCATTCTCCCCAGGAATCGCAGGTCCGGTGCTGGGCCGAGGTTCCGCCTTATTCCCACTTGAAGCACCGTCGTCCCCGGGCGGATTCTCCACATTCCCCATCTCCACATGGCTGTGCTTGGAGTCATCCGTGGCCATCTTCTCCGGACCGGGCTCATCGGCCTCCACCAGATCGTAGCCCTCCACCTCCTTGTCATCCAGGATCTCATCCACATCGTAGTCATCCAGGGGCTCTTCCCGGATAGTGCGCTTCGTCTCCTGGATGTGCTCTTCCAACGTTACATCCTGGCCGCGCTTCTGGGAGGCTTTTTCAATCTTCCCATCCAGCCGATTCAACTGCTCCTGCATCATATCGCGCCGTTTCTCAATCTCCGCCTGGAGCGCGGCGCGATGTTTGGCCAGCTTCTCTTCCTGTGCAGGGTTTAAGATTTTCGGCTGATAATAAATCGGACAGGTACTCTCCGTCCTTAGGAATTTCATCAAGGGTTTCTGACTGGTCTCCCAGTCTGTGAAACGCTTCATAATGTCCACCTTAGTCTCGAGGAATTTTACCACTGCTTGCGAGCGTTTGCGCTCCCAGAACAGTTCTCGGCGCTCGCGCTGGGATTCGCGTTTCTCCGCGGCCTCTTTCTCCTCTAATTTCTGCCGGATTTCCTTCTGCTGTTCGTCCGTCTTCTTGCGGTTCTCCTGCTCAATCTGGAATTTCTCCAGGGTCTTTTTTAACGACCCGAACATACGACGATTTCTGGCCGCGTCTTTATCGCCCCCGTGGATATTGGCTTCGCTCATGCGTTCTTCGCGGGTTTTCCGCGGCGTTGTATCGAAGAATACCGTCGACTGGATCTTCCGCCGGCGATACTCGTCGGAATCATCATCCCAACCCCCTGTTACACGGCGCCGTTCGGGCTGGCTCCCCGGAACCGTGTTATCGGGGGCGACGATGGGGCGAAAGGATGTGACGGCGCGGGGGCGCTTCGTGGGGGGTTCATCGGTCGGGCGGGCGAAATTGGGATTCGCCGCAATAAATGACGGGGTGCGGACGGTGATAGGGGGTCGTAAGGATGCGGGGGGCACGGCTGCGTCTGGACGACGCGCGACGAGATGCGGGTCGACAACATCACGGCCTGTAACGCGTTTAATGCTCTCTTCGGTTTCGCGGAGCTTATCCTTCGCTTCTTGTAGCTGCTCAGTTAGCGAGGAGACAGACGATATGACTTCGGCAGTCATTGCCAAAAAGAAAGATCACGGAACACCGCGTCAAGCGTAATTTGCAGGATAAAAAATCAAGATAATAATTACAGACAAGCGATTCAGTGCAACTATTTTCAGAAATTTTTGATCGTGAAATCAAGTTTTACGGCTCTGCTTACGCCTTACAGGTTACTACAAGCTTGCGCCGCCGTTGACCACAGACATCTCGGCCAGATGCGCCGATATTCTCCACTCTAATAAGGAAGGCTTAGGAAGCAGTTGCTAACAGGGAATGATGAACGCCGCAGAGTTTTCGCGTTTAAAATTTCAATTAAATCAAAGTGAATCTTATTTAAGATAAATAAGATTAAATAAGATTCACTTTGATTAAATAGTAGTACGCAGTACGATCCAACACGAGTATTGTAGTAAGTACTTGCAAGAGTTAAAAATCTACTCCAGGGATTCTGGCCATTTATAAATAACAAAAATAAATATTACACAACTAATTTTTTTCCGGATTGTATCACCTTGGGCATACCGTGCGTACATGTGTGTCATTTCCGTGATATGTTTCTGGAATTCAACTTTCGTTGGGTTAGGCAGATGGCATTTAAATAGTTGTCCTTATCGGAGAGTACAGCAATAAACATTAAATATTTATCATTTATGTTTATTTTGCCATGAAGTGGCGATACTCGGGTACTGTACTATACATCCTGCGGAAACGCTTTGTTTTGACTTATGACTACAGTACATGAGCTAGTTGGTTAAGTTGTAATCAGCTATTGCGTTAGTAAATTAACAATGGATAAAAAATGAAAAATTTAATGAAGTTGACCAATCCATACACAACCTTTCAACCTTTTGCATTACCTTTCGTTCCGTGAACAACATTTTTGAGCTACCTTTTATTCGGTATACTATCTTTTTGAGCACCACCTTTGACTCCGTGCAATGCGTGCATGATCATTCGGCACTACCTTTATCTGCGTGCACTACCTTTAATGTCTTTAATATAATGTTTTCACTATTCACAGCAAAGTTATTTCTGGAACTGCCGTTTTTTCGTTAACAGCTGTTATTACTGCAAAGCATCAGCGACAGTTATAAAATCGAATTCCCGTGAGTAAATAATTATAAATAATCGCAAAATGAGGGTTTGAATCCACACTACATATTACAATCACAATCTTGCCGTGCTTGACATAGTGCAAAAGTTTTAGAGAAATTACTCCAGATAACCATATTAAATACACACAACAGTTATCAAAGAGCTTAACACCATCAGTAGCTCGTTCGTTCCATGCACAGCCCAAGGACTTATTGCAGTAAACGTTTTAATAAGACTTTTGCTTAACCATGTCCGGAAACTGTGCCACAAACATGTTATAAAAAGGTATACCTATTTCGAAACCGTCTCGCTCAAATGCCGGTGCCTCTGTTAGGTCAAAGTAACCTTTAAAATGATCAAAATACAAGTTGCAGAGAGAAGGATTGTTCAGATGTCCAGTAAAAGTTTAACCGGACACCTGAATAATGCTGCCCACCGTTACAAACATTATCAATTTCGTGGTTAATTGAATTATTAAGCGGACGGAATCAGTGATCTGCAAAGTCCGTATGTAACTTTAGTCTGCGGTATGAGATAACATCAAGCTTTTTACAGATTAAGGGCAGCACTACAAATTGTCGCCGTACATGGGGACAAGAATATAAGTATTGTACAATGATTACCACCAGATTACTACACATTCATAAAATGGCGCAGAAATGTACGTATTCGAAAAATAACCCATAGACGTCACCGAAGCAATCATAACTAAATAATTATTAACAATAAACACATATTGTGGTCATCGATCCTAATCTTTTCTTAAATGGAAATGGTCCAGTACATCGAACTGCAAGCGAAATTACAAACAGTGTCCCTTCATTTCTCGAAAAGCAAATGGATGGCTTGTTGTGCTAGCTTCTTTAACCGTGAAACGTCCACTGTTCTCAAATCCGCATCTTCCCACATTTCGTTCTTTTCCGGAGAGTCGAAGCCATCGTACCTACTCGTACACCAACAGAATGTGTTAAACTGGAAAATCATAAAATGCTACGACCAAGTTTAGCCAATCTGCTCTGTGGTCAGAGCTTTAAAGTATCTGCGCATGATTAATTTTCATTGTACGAATACGCATTTTTCATTATGCGCAGCGAAATATTCGTCGCATAATGAAACCAAGCGAAAGTAAGGTACAATTAATTAACTGTAATTATAAGTAATTACTGTAATTGTAATTATAAGTATACTAATTATAATTCGTAGCCATAATTTGAGTATCCTATGTTGTAACCTTCAAACATGTTTCTCGCGTGTTTGCTTTGGACGGCCTAGCTAGACTCACGGGTACCGGACTGAAACGCTACGCTCGGAACACAAAAAAGTGTTCGGAGCGGAGCGTTCTCCACAGATTGTGACAGATACTTTAGTTGGTGTATAATCTTGCTCTAAAAATTTGTTCGGCACGTTTCCTGTTAAAACCACACGATACACAGGCACGTGGATTGATTAGAAATAAATACGGGAAAAAAACTTCAAGAGTTTGTTTTTTACTGCATTCTGGGTACCGCTAACTTTTGCCATATAAATGTTGTTATTGCACTGTCCAGCTTTGCGACACTGCGAAACTCTTTACTACGCAAAGGCAAGAAGTCATGCTTATCGGCTGCATAATATTCATTGCCATCGCTTCTAAAACCCATAGAAAGATGACTGGAGGAATGATTGGTAACCCGTTGATATGTTTTCTTAACGAAAGAGAAAATATGATTTGCTCTAAATGTCTTGAACTGCGTGGGGTCACTTTCGAAATGCACAGCAAACCGGCAACATGACCATAACTTGCAATTCTATGGTCAAACCTTAAAATTAACTATCAAATCGAAATATTTCTGGCGCATCTGTTATCTTAATAAAAGAGGACTGATTCATGTTGACACTTACAAACTCAGGACACTGCGAATCCCGGCCCATTGATCGGGATAAGCGAGAGTCTGCACCCAGCGTGCGTAGGTAGCGCTAATTTTCGTGTAGGTTTCGTGGGTAAGCGGAGGGCAGAGCTCTTCTGCAACTGACAAAAACCGGTGCAGTATTTGTTGCCGGTTTTCCGTTGCTTGAAAAATTAGATGCGGAATGCAGATGGGGAAACAATCTGCGCTGGGAGTAACTCTCGGAAAACCTAGTTCGTGCATTTGGCGCCCGTAACGGACCCATAGTATATGCGACGCCGCGCCCAAAACACACCGAACCGTGAAGTTTGACAGTATCACTTGGTTTGCAACCGCGAGGAACTGCGATACAGTGCTGCACTCGAATTCCGCGTATTCCATTCCCCATGGAAACACATTCCAATGCGGCTTACCGAGGTTGTTTACGGGTATTGGTATCCTTGGCGGATCGATGTGCATACTTTCAATTTCATCAAAGCTGATGCAGTTTTTAAGTACGACCAGCTGCAATCTGATATTCTTTACCGTTAGGAGCTTCGTGATAATTGCGATTGCTCGTCGACGATCATGTGTGCGAATCCTGTGTATGTGGGCGTCGGCGCAATTTATGATGCTGAGCGTTTTCGTGTCTTCAGTGACTGCTTGGTCCACCAAAAGAGACAACGCATGTACCCAGGTTACGAAACCGCATTTTACGAAAAAAACGGGAAATGGCTGCACACGGCACGACGGCGGGACTTGGTTGCTGACATCGATCGTGACATGAACTTGCGGGGAACAAAGACTTATAAGAGCATTCCAAATCACGCAAACCCTGCAATAAGTTCAAAATTACAAAAGAAAGGTTCGTTACAAAGTAGATGTGCTTTATCCCATCATTAAAGTGAACGAAATCTACGAACTGAATTTTTCGCTGCTGGTTTCTCCACACATTTTTAACTAAGCGTTATATTTGGGATAAGCGCTGAAAACATGCAGCGGCAGGACAACGAACTGGTTGAGTAGCCAGCTGCACCTTGCGCAGTTGGCGCGGAACGAAGTGCCGGCTTGCATGCCCTTATCCATTTTCAAAGTTGTGTTTTCTGTATGAAATACAGGTTTTCTGTAGTCTATACAGCAGCATTGTACAGAAAACTTTCGTTTCGTACGAATTTCGCCTCTTTCAATTCGCATACGAAGTATGATAATTCCGTGAGAAATTGTTTCACGAACGCTTGTTCAACATACAAATATTATGCTTTATCTCAGATTCTTACTATGTTTGTTTTTATATCTATATCTATGGCTCAAATTTGTGCCAAATTATAAGCGACGACGATTATTACTTTCTGTCAAAAGATAAGCTGCTGCATTGGGAATTAGGAATACAAAACAACACGACCTAATTAGGAAGTACAAAGCTATACATACGTGATACGTGATACGTAATTTACGACAATAATTATTATACAATATTATGCCATACATATAATATATATAATATATATTATATAATATATATATTATATATTATACTCCATATAATATATATTATACTATATATTATATAATATTATTATAATATATATTATATAATATATATTATATTATATAATATATATTATACTCCATACCTTCGAAGGGCGATTTGGTTGCGGAAGTCTAAAATTTCCAGGGTAAATGCCATGACTGGATGAATAAGGCTGTGGATTTGCATATCCCCTGCAATGCAGAGTTACACTTTTGGACGAGTACTCTGCGGTTTTATCATTGGTTACTGTATTGCTAATATTGTACTCTAGTGCAGGTACTTTGCTTCAAACCTGATGGCACAGCGCATGCAGTGATATTTTCTAACAGGCCGTATCTGGACTCTGAAGAGCCAAAATGTTTTGTTGTGGATACACAGTACGAGTCTTATTGAACATAACCAATTTCTTTCAAAGAATTACAGTAAAGTTATTAAAGTTATTACAGTAAAGTTTAAAGTCGAAGACCCATGAGGAAAATTAGTACGACTCTTGTACGAGTACTTCTGGTCTATAAATAATAACTTCTCATAAACTCGTGCCATGCGGAAAGTGTCTAGGCTCATGTACTATTCAAACGCACACTAGTCTAGCTTATTGTAAACTAATATGATAACGTTATTGTATCTGTATTGTACTTATATTTTTTTACTGTATCCGCCATCATAGGCATCTGCTTATGCAGACTTACCTGTTTCTGTGGCAATTCGGCCACTGTCCAAGATAATATGTCCAATACTGAAAACTTTTATGGGCAACTGTAGATCAGAACTACCGCTCCCACTCCCAGTTGCATGTAATTCATCAGAGTAGTAAGTTTCACATGACCTGCGTAAGCAATCTGCACTGTACAGTGTAGCACTTGCACTAATATGGCGCATTTCAACGCAAACAAAAATTAGCACATCCGTCCCGGTCCGAACAAAGAAACGGCATCCCATCTGCGACGTATCAAATGGCAAAGTCGTGCACATTTCCCGCGTTTCATACATCGGCTCGACGTAGGATGGAACAGCATCCGTAACGCACCGCACCATAGTGTGTACTGATTTGATGAGTTGAGCATTTTTGAGCGGAACAACGTATTTGGTATAAACCATAATAGATGGTGACCTCCAGTCTGTCCCGACAACTTGTTTGAAACATGGAGGTTCGTTGTTGGAAGGTAATTTTGCTACAACTTGCCACTGGTGAACCACTCTGCACTCATTAAACGTACGATTTGCACACTGTTCCCCAGGAGCACCAAAACCAACGTAGTACAATCCTCGATCAGGATATATAAGCAAATTTCCCGGGCGGAATACATATGGTCCGGTTTCCTCATTTCGCAGCGCTACCTGGACCGATACACTTCCATGCAGTTGCATATCCACCTCATTAAATTTATCTGTTTCGGCGTAATGATGCGGCCAGACGTACTGAGAGTGAATCCAGCGAGATGAAACCGTGGTGCAATCAAAATTAATGAAGAAATTGTTGCCATCAATGTCCTGGACATATCCCAACCACCAAACACCTTTCCGGGGCTGTACCAGCACCGTGTTTCCGTAGTTCAACTCCCGCGCATCAGATTTAAGTGGCCGGAATGGAGGAATTACTGTAGGTTTCATCGCTGCGCTTTCATGTTGGGTAAACAACTATATAAAAGCGTTTATGCATCTGCACAGATGCATAGATCTAGCGACTTCAGTATCCAAGTTCAGACAATTATATAGCACTGGTCATTTCATCAAATTATGCGGACACTCATAATTGTCTACCTGTAATAACGCTGATGGTTTTCAGCATGCACTAGTTATGCGCACAACTGTTTATTGAACGAATAAAATAGAAAGATCTATGGTACAAATCAAAATTGCACTTCTGCGATTTTTTGATATGATCAGACTGTTAGAGAGCTGGCTCGTTCGAGTCACCTTTGCGTGCAAGGTGGTGCAGTGGCCAGCTATTACAGATCTGTATATGGACTACTACAAACCCAGACGGGCATTAATCCCACTACTGTCGGACAATCAAGGCAAGCGAAATTGAGAAGGAGTATGTCTTCCATGTGGCCTGCTCTGTTGTATGCAAAAGACTTTCCTCTTGACCCAGACACCGTCAGACAATGCGTGGCGTCAACTTGTAACAAAAGATGGCTAGCTAAACTACCCTACTCCGTAGTGTCTGCACCGGACTGTGATTTTGTATAATACATATTGCATATTATTGTGTAACCGGTCGGAACGCTTGCTAAAGTAGAGGATTACTCGATTTTGAAATTCTAAGGTAATGCTAACAAAGGTCACAGGCAACATGCAAATAAATCTTGCCGCCTACAAATTCGTTGCTTTCTTTCTTCAAATATTCAAGCAGTTCGAATATTCATTAACCACATCTTACGTAAACAAGCAGGTAATCACTATCAGCTACTCTGTATTGTACATGTTGACAAGAGTTTCAGACTTTTTATCAAAGACGTCGCAAGACTTTGATGTCTAGTGTTACGTTGTAATCTGTACAATGTGCTTTATTTTATCGCTTTATTTCATGTGCGCCTCCTCTACACAGAATATCGAGTTCAAAAACACATTGATCAATCGAACTAATACATATTGTTTACGAAATAACATGTACATGTACATACATACTTTTTATATGAAGACATGCTGTTTACGAAAACAAATTTGAAGCTTTTGGTAGCACAAATCAGCAAATTTGGCGCATTATGATTTAATTTACTCTGATTTTTATTTGTATGAGCTCGTTTGCTAACCAAAACTAATTTCATAGCGGTACTGCAAATGATCTTTGGCTTTGATGGGCGGGTACACTTTTGGTCGTTCTCCCAATGCTTCCACCACGGTCTCACTATCCGGATGAACAAATAAAACCAAACTTTGGCGGGTTAATGTTGATGTGTTGCATAAAACCCGGTGAGGCTGCAAAAATGTAAGCACGGTGAATTACATTTATCCGCATGCGGCTTATTGTTTTGAAAGATACAGTGTACTGTGTATGTACTGAACTTGAAAGATATAGTGGTTATCAAAGAAAAATTATGCGTGTTTTACCCAATTGGTATCAGCTTAAATTCAGCAATATGTACTAATACTATGTATCTGTACTAATAAATAATAAAGCTGTTAGAGTAACTTTATTAGGCCATATGCTAAACTGCTAACACTTGCACTACAGCTTACCGTTGCTTTGAGCTCATCGGAAGTCCAGCGCTGTAACAAATCGCCTATATTCACCACAATCGTGTCGGGAATGGGTGTGGCCGGGATGAAATCACCGCCGGCCGTTTGTACTTCCAGACCACCAACTTGGTCCTGTCCAACCAAAGTAACGGTACCATAGTCGGTGTGTGTACCGCATCTGACCACATTCGGATCATTGGCGTATTCGCGCTGAAATGAAGGGTAGTACAGTGTACGGAATAGGCTTCCGGATGGGACATGTGTGTCATCCAGGTTGCGGTGAACAGTGAGAAAGTATTCTGGATCTTCTAAACCCAGACCGATTCCGATGCAGTGGAGGATTTTTTTGGCTAGGAAGCGGTAGGATTGGCTCAAACTGACGAGCGCCGGCATGAAGTCGGGATACTCAGGCACATCCTGATCATGACGAAGCATTTTGTCTCTGACCACGAGTTAAACAGTTATAGCGTTACGCAATCGATTATGAACATAAATTGTGTGAAATATTATTCAGGAAGGAATGCTAGTCATTTCTGACGACTCCATTAAAGGTAATCTATGCATGACCTTTTCTGTTTAGTAGCTTTTGTTCAACAGATGCTAACTCCATTTGTTTGTTGCACGGTACATTTTACAGTACGGTTTAGTAATTCAGATGCAACATTGTCATTTCGTTGTTGTACTCGATCGTATTGTCTTACAACTGTGTTGTGTGGAATCAAATCAAATGCTTCTCGGATCTCTTTCTTGGCTGACGGGTTTAGGCTGCAAAAAAGTAAAATTTACACCAATTTGTTTTGCTTAAAATTTAAGATAATTACAAAACTGCAAAACTTTTTCAGTATGTTGCGTTATTTGTGTATCAGTGTGTTCTATCTCTATCTTGCTAGAAACATAACATACATATAAAAATAAACAAATACACGCTTTGGCACAACTGGAGAGGTCCGAGTAAATTGGCGTACAGATTTACTGTTAAAACAGTAATGAATACTATAGGGCCAGGGATTTTTGTCATAATTTCCATAAAGGTTTGTGTGTGATGTAATAAATAATAACAACGCTACGTACGCATTCTTTGATAGCAGATCGCTTACCGTTCGGAATCGATGGGATTATATGTGGTTATATTGGTCTGCCGTTTTGATCGTGTTGCGAAGTCCATTTTCCGCTCCTCCGTTAGCTCAAAAAAGGCTTTAGAAGTGGTAAACGCATTTCGAATCTGCGAAGAATTATGGAAACGTCGTAGAAAAAAATTTAAAATTTAATATACAAGTGTCGGCACATGCTGATGCTGCGCACGATAAACAGAACAATATTATTTCTGACATAAGTTAATCGGCGATAATTTCACTGTAGTCCGGTCAAAATTTAAATGGTGTAAAATACTCGTACTAAATAGGAGTACAAGTAGTAGCGATTAAATGCCGGCTTTTACTTTTTGCTGATAAGCAGTATAAATTTGACATATACTACACAATTACCAGATAAAAACACCTGAACTAATCAGCACTTACAGTATAATGACATCTTCGTATAAATGAGCATATTGAAATTCTAGTCAAATTAAATTTAGCAGTTTACTGAAAACCTCTATGTTTTCAACAGTTTACCTTTTGATCGAGCACGCCATGGTTCTTCAAATATAGAAATCCCACTGTACGTAACGCCTGGCAGATTTCGCTGGACACGGTTTCGCGTTGACCTGGTATATCGTACTGGGCGAAATCTATCACCGGAATTATAGTTTCTTGATCTTTGGTCATGTTTATAGAGCTATAAGGTACTGTATCAAAATCCAGAAAACAGCAGAACAAAAGCAAGTAAAAGCAGAAAAACTTCTCCAATGTGATCCAAACCAATTCGGGTTTATGGGACAATACAGCTGCAGTATCAGAGGCAAGCTGGGGTGTAGATGACAAGATAAATTGTGGTCTGCCAGCTTTTAATATTGTTACTTTCTGCACTTTGATCGAACAGAGGATATACAATCTGATCAACAACAAATAGCAATCTAAACTTTCTGGCAGCTATTTGTAACAAACTATTACAGCAACAGATAGACTTTGATAGGCTTGTAGTGATAAACCGATAATACGTCTCACGATGACCTTTAGAACTGTAACGCCGCGGACTGCTAAAATACGCTTGCTGATACACGCATTTGTTGTGTCGTGTCTTTTAATTTTTAGAGAATAAATATCAAAGCAGACGGTGGCATCGGTTTGCATTACTCACAAACATTAATTTTTTATCGTGACCTTTATTCGTTGAAAAGTAAGTTCCGTTCCAAGACATTTCAATTTTACTATAGTGCAAACGGCATTGTCAACCATAAATATTGTAGAGCATACGCATAAATCGATAGCTATTATCGTGCAAGTATGTTCGTCCGACCGGCACATGGCCGGTAAAAACTTGACAAATGATTATTTTGTACATATTTGCTACAAGTGCATCCTAAATTAGCCTGACTAAAGCGTCTGACAAAGCCGGAGCTATTTCTACTTTCAAGTAGAATATGGCTAATAATGCTTAAATTAATCGCTGATCCATCATGTTTTGTCTTTAGCTTTAAAACTGTATAGTACAGTCACTGCAAATACTGCACTTGCAAAGCTGGCAGCTGGTAGACGACGCGCGCGTGTTGCACGACGTTTGTTGTTCGTTGTTGAGGATGATAATTATAATAGCTGGCAACAACAGCTAATCAGCCTGTCCGTTGATACAGTGGCTAAAACATCTACTTCTATATTATACATACTTGATGTTGGGAGAAATCTGATCCGATTGCAGCGTCGCATCACGTCTGTCCAGCTAAGCTGTACACCATGCCATATATCGCGTATTATACCGGCATCGGTATCCAATATATCACACTTTTGCGCCGGGGCTATCGAGTGTATGCCGATGATGCAATCAACTTGTAAAATATTTATTTGTGCTGACAATCGGTGATATGTCGTCGATGGAGAGCGGCAGGCGAGATGATTCATTGTTAACCTCCCGTATGTTCACCCGCTAAATCCACGTTGTTGACAGAATGTCTTTGCCTGATTATTGGTGTGTGTACCTTGATTTTTCCATCTCCCCACTGTGTGGTGTATAGTATTATACGCGTGTGTTATGATTCGAATTATGGACGTGGACGTCGTGCGTGGCTCCGCCTTTTGGCGTTTATTAATAATCATATGCAAATGCCGGCGCGATATCCGCTGGACGTATATAAATCCACCGGCACATGGACAGTTATTCGGTAGCATTCGTGTTCAGCGATTTCTTTTGTTCCGTATACGTATTTCCCACGTGTGCACAAGAGAGCGTGTGTAGTGTGTGAGTGTGTGTATACGCTAGACTGATTTGATTGTTTGTTAATCTATACCGTGTATACGGATTACAAAAGGAATACCGGTCGTGTGCAGTTAGAGAGCTGATCGAGATCGCGTTTCACCATGAAGATCCCGGTTTGTTCCGTTGTCCTCCTGACCGTCAACTGGGTCGTAGCACACAATCTGGTAAATATGCATAAATCTCAAATCGACTTTAAGAAATAATTAACACGAAGTGGGAAACTTTTAATATTATGGTTTTTTAAGTTTTGTTCGGTTGCCGGCAAAAAATGTGTACGCTAAACCGCGGATGCATAATACTCGAAAATCTTTTCTTCCTCTTTGTAAAAATGTAAACTTTTATCTTTCATATTTCACCACCGATTAAGTTTATTATACGAGATACTGAACGCGATATATTACTATACTGGTTCGTTCGTTTGCAAAACTTACCTGAAAGTCATAACTGATATTGTTTAACCAGACACAAGGCAAATTTTTTGAACCGATTAATGCTTCTCCATTCGTAGTGCCGTGTGCGTACTGCCTTTTATATGCGATATGCGACTGTTTTCAGGATAAACGCCAAGCTCTGAACCCCCAAAACCCCGGCGTCTGGCAGGCCCTGGATCAGCTGCGCGGCAGCTCCGCCCCCTCCGCCGCCGACATCCAGCGGATAATGGCCAACGCCGTGCCCGGTCGGGATTATCCCATGTTAGCCTACATTCCCCAGACGACGTTCAGCTGCTCCAATGTCCGCCAGCCGGGCTTCTACGCCGATCCGGAGGTGGTTGACTTGTTTATGTATTCAAACTCTGAAAGGGTTTAGCGGTTCGATGTAGGATAGTGTATATATATAATCCGATTAGTAAGTGTCGGACATGTACTGTCGTCCATCATCCGCGGGTGCTTTTTCCGTTTCTGTAGACACGCTGTCAAGTCTTCCGGCGCTGTGAGGCCAATAACTATATGTTCTCCTATATTTGTCCCAACACCACCATCTTCAACCAGATCACACTGGTCTGTGATTACTGGTACAATGTCAACTGTCCCAAGTAAGTACATACGGCGGCCAGACACCGTAAAACTAAAAACGACAAAATTAATACCGGTATCGTATCTATATTTGCCGGATTAAATACCTGGTTTCGGTTGCTGCATGTACACAAACCAAAGAAAAAAAATTTTTTGATACATTCGTAAAAAAGGATCTGCTACTTGTGATACGGTAATTATTGTTTTAATTCATTCGAGGAAATACTTTTTGACTGCCGCAAAAATCGCTGAAATGGTGTTGTAATTTTATGTTACAAATTACTAACTAATTTCTGTGAATTCTATCTGTAAAATCATTTATCTTCATATTCGACGCTCTTTTGCAGTTCACAGTCTTTCGTGGATTATTCCAATCCCAGAATTTACATCCAAAATGGTAACAAAATTTCTGACTGTTTCACAGAATTTTTGCGTTAGAACTAAATACTTTTATGCGAGAATAGCGCGCTTATTGGACGATGTGAATTACGGCGGCGGCTCCGGCAGCGGTGGCTCCATCGGACCCGGCGGTCCCATCATTACCGGCGGTGGAGGTTCCGGCTCCGGTTTGGCGGGTGCCGCATACACCGGCGGACAAATCTCGGGTGGTGGCGGCAGTGGTGGCTCCATCTACAACCAAAACAGTGGACTGACCGGCAGCGGTGCCGGCGCCTACACCGGCTCCTTCTCAGGCTCCCTCACCCAACCGCCGTCTCAAACCAACCTCCCGTACGGCACCATGCCGCTCCAGCAAACCACCTACCCGTCGGCGATCCAGTATACTCAGTATAACAGCGGTGGCGGTGCTCCTCAACAGCCCATTGCCGGTTACAATTCCCAACCTGGTCCCAACTACCAGAACAGCGCCCCGGTGCAACCGTCGTACCGCAGTCTGTCCAACCGTCTGCTCAAACTGCAGGCCGATGCTTCTGACCGGATACACGATGTAGTGGCCGCTCACTCGCAAACGCCGTTGTCGTCGCCGCAGCAGACACCGGCAACACCCACTGTCGGCTCCACAACAACGGAGAAATAAGCGACCGCGCTGACCTTTATTGACTACAGTGATAAAAATGATAATACTTGTTCGTAATGCTGCAGTATTTGTTATGCGACGTATATTATATTTATGAAATCGTGAAAATGTTATTATGTTAGGAGATTGAATTCAAATAAACCGCGACTAATTATATTGTAGGTAGCTTCCGATGCAGCCATCATACTTAGCTTTCGAGGACATTCAAATACGACCAAACAGCGATCGCTACGATGATCGAAAACTATCTTTTATCACGTACCACATTTAAAGCAATTATCTGATTTTTTAATCGCACGAATATTTTTTACTTTGTGTGAAAATGGTCCGTTAATACACTGAACAGGTAAAGTTTGAGTGGTACCAGAATGGTCTTTTCGCAACTGTCAGGCTGTGGACATTGAGCAACCTGGGAATAAATAACCACTCTACGAGTTTTGGCAGTTTATCCAATTGGCGCTATAATAACATTTTTAGTACATGGACTTGTTCCAAAAGCAAAAATAATTTTTTCGGAATGTTCATTATAATCACATAAACGGCAGCTAATAAGCGTGTTTGAATAACTTAGAGATACACAGGGGAACTTGCCTACCCTATTCAAATCCAACGTTTGCCTTTTGGCCGCAAAAATGTCCGTTAATATACCAGTTCAAGGTGTCGCGCTGCCTTTAGGGTTCGGAAAAATGTCATTTTACTATGTAATCAGGTGTTGTTTACAACAAGACTTCTTTTCGCTCGGTCTGCTCAAGCAGTGTTCTCGTGGTACATAATTGTCATTGTGTATTTTATTGTGATGTTCAAATATCAGAAACGAAGCAAATCAGCACCAAAATGATTAAAAATTTTACTGAATCTGTTGCGAATGGCGTTCTTTTGCAGCTAAAGACAACCGAGCAAGACTCAAATCTTGCCGCTAATAATGAAACCTCTAATCCAGTTACATCTGGGATAGCGGTGTCGGCGACCCCATTATACAGCGACGAACAAGTCCAGCTGGTGCAATTAGCTTGCAATATACTGTTCTTCGGCCTGCTTGTATTTTCCACAATCGGCAATGTATTTAATTTCTGCGTCTTGACGTGTACACGCTACAAAGCGCGTTCTTCAGTGCGGTACTACATGCTGGCCACCAGCGTTGCGGATCTCCTGACTCTGTAAGATAATGTACAGTAACATAATTTTGTAGAAGTCTGATCTGCTGATTTCAAAAAAATATACTCCTAGTCAATATTAACAATGCATTTAAAACAGTATACCACAATTACGCCCGGCATTGGCGGCTTTTGCGCCGTATCTTTAAACAAAAACTTACAATGACGGAAAGTCTACTTTCGATCAACCAAAACGATTCTTTTAATAAGTCTTCCCGGGGCGTTAGCTCAGCCCAGGATAGGTTGTTTATTGAATGCCCGGTTTCGTGTTGTGTTTTTGCAAAGAACAATATAATTTGATTGCAGACTGCATGTTAGAACGCATTAATTGTACCACTGGTCACAACAAAATGAGTAAACAGCAGTTTTAAGCATAATAGCACGTTGCGTTTCTGACGCCTTTGGCCATTCTTGTAATAACACCCGACGATCCCGATTCCCGAACTCTTTTGCTGTTGCTGCAACTGCAGTTTTGTTATTATATTCAGTATTAAAATTTGGATTTATATTGGTAGGGTCTATCAGTGCCACCCAAGACTTTTGGATGATCACGCTACAAATAAAGCGGCACAGAAAAAGACGATCAAGATCCCGATTTGTTTTCGGCTGATAAAACTTAACAAAATAGACCATTTTATTATTCGATAGTTTAGAAATACTTTACAGTTTATTTTACACGACTGCCCGAACTTGGCGCAGCAGGGTGGTAGAACCGGCTTAATTTTGAAAGAATGATAATGAAAACACAAACTCTCAATTTCGAATACACGGAGCTTAATTATAGTATACGTAGTATTTTTAATGTTCTTGTATTATTTCAGATGGCTCGGTGTTCCTCGAAGCATATTTAACATAAGCCTCTTAATGAAAACAGGATTGGCGGCATGGATAACACGACATCAGGATCCCATCGAAGCTACATACTGCTTGCTTGAAGGAGGCCAGTTGACCTTTATGAGCTTGTCTGACTGGTAAACACATAACTGCCGCTCATGTTCTTGCTACTGGAGAAAAGCTGCCATGTTATAACGGTATGCTATGTGCAAAGGCATTAGTGAATTTTGTTGTTACAGGATACTTGTGGCATTTTCCTTCGAACGATTGCTGATTCTTGTTAGCCCTTTCCGGTTCGGATTCCTTCAACGGCCTACTGCAGCACGGATTATTATTGCCGTTCTAACTGTCGTGTCTCTGGTGTTTAGTCTGTTTCAGTATATGAAAGGCTACGTGGCGTTTACTGCAGCGACAGTTCCTGAATGGCTCGTTAGCTGGTCCAACATTCAACGCGTAGCAGACGTATGTAATTCGTAAGACGCTGCATTTGTTCATTATGTTGTTAGCGTAAATGTGGCATATTTTACACTTATGGCCGTGTCCGCACATTAACATCCGCGTACCCTTTCTTGCACTAATCCCCTTACATGTATTTTTTTGTCTGTATGCACCCTTACTTTAGTGTTTTTTGTACTGATTTTTGTTAAACTTGTTACACCACTCACTTTATGTTTGATACAGATGATTGGAGTCCCGCTAACCTTCTTTCTAATCCTCCTTCCAAGCGTTGCCCTAATCATTTTCCTTACAAAACAGCGTAAGTCCGACGTCTGTCAGCTACGAATGCAGAACTCAAATACCAGCAGTACATTGGCTGCGACCCACCGGAAGCTTGCAGCGGCCAGCTCGGGAAACAGTAAATTGAATGCTCGCTCGCAAATGGGAACCAATCTACTCTTACTCGGCAGCGCAGCCTTCTATACCGTCACTCGGCTTCCTTTTGTAATCTATCTGTTTCTGGACCCGGCAGTATACACAGACTTGTCACCTTTCATGCTCGCCAAACCCCTCATGAACTTAACCATTCTCTTGGGATATACGTTCAACTTCTTCGTTTATATCGCGAGTGACGTCCAGTTTCGAGAGCATTTCGTCAAACTAATTTTGCAGCCAATAGCAGCTCACTGCAATCGCTTCCGCCGACAGTCGACTGCAAATTTCAGTTTTTGGTCTTCCGGAAATCAGCATCGGCAAAAACCGTTTTCCACACCGACATCAAGCAAAGCTCTACTGACAGCCACTTCTTCGGTTTGACCATTTCAGTTTCTTCCTTCATAATCATATGACACTTTGTACATAGTTTCTTCACCCACTAGTTTGATATTTAATTTTTTTGCGTACCGAAAATCATGCCAGTGACCATGCATGGTTTGCAAACACATGTTGTACCCTGCGTCTGCCGTGTGACATTTTGAGATGGCATATTAGTAGTCAGTACTAGCTACTGGTAGGTGCAACGCGTATCGGCGACGGTGGGGCATTTTTATTCTGCTGCAAATCTGCTGTCTTTGTGGTGCAAAAATTTTGCGACTTCTCATTTCGGTTATTTAACATGCAACCATACAACTGCTAATTGAAGGTGTGACTTTTAACGGCGTACTAGTTGCACATTTCTTAATCTGAGCGACGAATAATGGCTCATACCAAGTACAACTGTTCGGCTGTCTGCAATGGAATTCGTAGGAACATACTTATGTACTGCCTCACAGTACTCACCTTAATTTACGAATAACGATCTACAAGAGCGCTTAGTAGTCCGTACCTCGCTAACACAAGAAATGCCCTGACCACCAGTAAAAAATGATTCGCTAGGGATTTCTTATGTTTAGCGGGCGGATCTGTGTTGTACAGCATACAACATATCTACGAGTATATATTCAACTAGCACTACCACATTTTGCGATGTGCAGTGTGCATTACGGGTAAAACATTTACTTAATCTACCAGTAAAGTCAGCTCGGTATTACATCATTAATGGTAGTATTCCGCAGAGCTTTACATGTTGGTTACTAAAGCAGGCTGCTCTGCATGCTCCTTAACAGCCCATTGCCGGCTACACTTCCCACTGGGGCCCCACATTCCCGCTAAACGCCCAGTTTCAGTTCCCCGGTACTATTGCAATTGCCACAGCACCGTTGAAAACAATATTACTAGCAGGTTGCGCTGGTGGGATTTAGGGTACCATTGTTCACTACACAGTATTTCAGGGGTACCACTGACGCTGTTACAAATATATGGCAGTGCTACAAGCAAGCAATTGTATTTCGTTTTTATTACGCTACTCTTGACCTTTTTTCAGTACGAGGAGGGGGTAAATGAGCTCGATGCACCCGAGCAAGGGGTAACAGAGCTCGTTATCTGTGACCGTGCCTGTGCAACACGGCCAGCCACCAAGAGACGGCAGCCCGTGCTATCACGCAGAACACCTGAAGCAGTCACTGGGCCCGACAGATTTTTGTTTCCATAGACTTGTATACTAAACTGAATCACTTCTATTTTGCACATTCGGGAACGAAACCAAGCAAATAACATTCCAAAAGAATCAGAAAAAATTCACGAGATTTTTTATACTAAACAAGTTATGATTCATGGTGCAGGACACAAGTTATTTATGTTTCTCGTAGACACAGCATAGAGTTTGTGCGTGGAACCCAACCGTTGATTCGAATTCTATGCTATGTCTACGAGAAACGCAAATGGCTATAACTTGTGTCCTGCACCATGGATCATTACTAGTTTAGTATCAAAAATCTTGTGAATTTTTTCTGATTCTTTTGGAATGTTATTTGCTTGGTTTGGTTCCCGAATGTGCAAAACAGAAGTGATTCAGTTTAGCATACAAGTCTATGGAAACAAAAATCTATCGGCGCCCTATCATTTTGGCCACCGTTCATTTTGGCCACCATTCATTTTGGCCACCATTCATTTCGCCCACCACTGATTTTGTTACCGCTTTCGATTTTTAGCTAATACTCGTACATGCACTCGCTACTCACTTTGTAAGACTATGATCAAACAATTTTTTTTGAAAACGAAACATAAAAAAAGCAAAAATATGAACCTAAGAAACCTAAGAAGTGAACCTAAGAATAAAACACAAGAAACAAATATTTCTTGACTCACAGACTCACTTTGTCATAACGAGTACATATACTTAAAACCTAAGAAAACCTAAGAACACATATAAATACGAGTACATATACTATAGGTTGTTATATGAATACTAAACATCTCTTGCAGACCTTCGGACTCTCTTGATTGTAACGCGTGATCTCCGCTTCTACTCAATCGATTTTTCTGCTTTAAATTGCACACGAATCCTCCCAGTTTGGGGAGTGTTCTTAGACTCTTGACCTTTCGCCATCGCGATCGCGGGAGGCCCAGTGGTCACTGAAAAGCTTGTTACCATGGATGCCATAGGGCTAAGATGGGCAGCTCTGTTGCCACAGGCATGATAAATTTGAACAAGAAAAAGTTTTGGCTTCGCCTCTGCGTTTCTTGTGCTCCCCTGGCTGAGGAACACTTAACAAATCACTTCGCCCACTGATAAGCCACTACCGTAGCTTTTTAGATTCAGTAGAATTTAGTAGAAAAAGCAGAAGCTTAGCAGCTGTGCCATGAATCAAAAAACTTTAGGGGCAAAAGGTCAATACTCCACGATTCTCACCGCAGGCAACCATCCTGAATAAGTAGCTGTCTGGCTTTGCCATTCTGATTTTGCAACACAATCCAACACATGAAGATACGACGTAATTTTAAATAGTCGTAAGCCAATATTCATCCATGCTCATCTTGTACATATACATGTACAACCTAAGAAAAAACAACCTACGAATACCGTAAGAATAACCTAAGAAAATCGAACGTGGTAACCAAATCAGTGGTGGCCGAAATGAATGGTGGCCAAAATGAACGGTGGCCAAAATGAATGGTGGCCAAAATGAATGGACACGAATCTATCGGGCTCAGTGACTGTTTCAGGTGTTCTGCGTGATAGCACGGGCTGCCGTCTCTTGGTGGCTGGCCGTGTTGCACAGGCACGGTCACAGATAACGAGCTCTGTTACCCCTTGCTCGGGTGCATCGAGCTCATTTACCCCCTCCTCGTATTGTATTACACTGCTTCTTGCTATTTGCACTATATGGTAAGTAGGAAAATGCGCATGTTAAGCTGGTAGCCGCCAGTTGCTTTCAAGTGAAGCCAACAACAGCATACTAAAGATGCTCACTAGTTGCTTCAGAAGAATGCCGACAAAAGTTGCAGGCTGCAACGGAAATGTTGTTGACGTAGCAGACGCTTAATGTTGCCTGGGTATGCTGATGGGATAATAAACATCATCATACCGATTTCTTTTGGAAGATATGCCGGATCCAATAAACCGGGATGGTGAGTGCACGTACACTAGCTCTAGATCAAATTCCCCTGTAATGTTTGCGTCAAGAGATCAGCTGTAACCGTAAGTAGATAGATCCCTGACACTTCGAAGGATGGTTTGAAGGCATGATAAGAGATGTCTGCGACGAATCCTGACGCGCAGTTACTAGTTGTGATGTCAAGCTGGCGAATCCTTTGCGTCCAAATATGGCTTAAGTGGGCTACCAGCATAATGGTATGCACTAACGCCATATTTCGATATAACAATTCCCCGAGGTTTCGAAATCTTATAATCTGATGTTCATTGTTTAAGTGCAGCTGGCACAGTAATTTTGTGCTAACATAACTTGAAAGTAAAGTAAACCGCATGGATCAAATTCATTTAATTGCGTAATGTAGTGTAATTAGCGAATTGTGGATCTGTAGCACAATTTACTGACAAAATGTGCAGAGTGTACATGTAATAGAACTATAACTACGGAGCGATTTGAAGGGAAGGCGAGCACTGAGCAGTGCCATCAGTCGTTGTTCCTAGACTCCTACTTTAGTGGATTGCCATTGACATTTTGTAGTGGTGAAATATAGTCGATAACAGTTTTCACTAAAACAAATATAGCAGTCGGTACCGGAAGTGCAACTCTGTTTCGGCGCCTTGCCGGCAAGCTCTAAGTGTCTTGCACTGCGCTCTCAAAATAATAATTATTCAAATAAAGTACAGCTGGCATGTACTACAGTACCACGGAACATACCATGTACACCCGAACAGCATGAATATTTTGCGCAACACTTGTCAACACCGCAGTGTAACTGCAACAGATGTAGGGGTGCTCCAGCACAGAAATGATCATTATAACCATGTGAAGGCAGTTAATGACCATTTTAATAGATCATCAGGTAACTACTGCTTTCCCCATGCTTGCCTTTTGGCCGTAGAATTAAGCCCTGTTAACGTTAATACCAGTTCAAGGTGTCGCGCGGCCCTTAGGGTGCGGAAAAGCGTCTTTTCACCATGTTTGGTATTGTTCACAAATAACAAGAGTTTTGTGTTCTCGGATTAAGTAACCTAAGGAACGACCGTCCAAGGAAAATGGAATTCCACGGATGGAATCCAATTTCCAAATCCGCGCTCCTCGCGGGCGGCTCGGATTTGGAAATTGGAATTTAGGAAATCCGTGGAATTCCAATTTTTGCTTGGAATTCCAGATTCCCTGTATTTGGAATTCCAAGCGCATAGAAATGTCAGGGAAAAAAAATGAAAACAAAACATTTTTCGTGTTGTTTTTCGACAGGCGGCTGCAAATTTTTACATTACCTCGTCTTCCGGTCTCAAACGATTTATTTTGAAAATAGCGTAATCACCAGTATAGTAGCCGCGAACGTTACTGTTTCTATTTTATTTCTTTTGTATTCTCAATAGATCAGGAAGTCTGCTTGATCTATCCGAGAGAAAACAATGTTCTTCTTCAAAAATTTGCATATTTCGGTCACCTGGTGTTCAGATTTCCTGGCAAAACAAATATACTAGAAAAACTTAGCTCATATAATATTTCGAAGCATGAACTTAAAAAAATCCATAAAAGAGCAAACAGAGAACAGAAATTCGACCGGCTGCAACGTAAAGGAACCGCTCTTCAACATTTGCAGAATTCAGAAATTTCGAGTTCAATCATTTTTAATTTTTCTATCAAAGTAAGTCAAAATATGGAACCGTATACTTAAATTGACCAAAACAAGAGAAAAATCAAAGTCATCTTCTTGGAAAGGATGATACGGAGATATCTAACGGCAGCGCTCAGTAGCTAACAATCTACAATCTGCCGACTTTTGATGTTGTTTTTCGCTTTCTTCAACTTGCGTATGCATGGCCGACAGGATTCGTAAATCGTACCGGTACTATACTATACACTGTATAGTATACAGTCTATACTACAGCAGCATATTACTGCCAGTCTGCCTTGGTTTATGATAGGCAGTTAGTAAACGTTTAGGTTTCTTTAATCTGTTTAGAGTTCAAATGAAGTTTTTAATGACGAATGCGCAGTAATTAAGCAGCTGAAGTTAATCAAAATGATTTTTTGTTCATAGTTATGTAAATAGATAGTTAAATAACGGTATTCCAACGAAAACTAAGAAATCCTTGGAATTACGGAAATCCGTTTGGATTTCCGTAAATCCACGGATTCCATGGAATTCCATGGCAATTTCCTTTCCAAATCCTTTCCACGGGCTCGCGCCCGTGGATTTGTCCTCCTTAAAGTAACCGTATCGCCGTTGTTCGCAGTGTTTGTTGACTGATGTTCTGGTTTTGTGGTAACAGCAAGATAACATCCAAGGATCAAGGCTGAAATGGATACAAATTTTGCAGAATTCATTCCGAATAATGTTACCATCGTGCTGCAGCAAGCCGGGCAAGAGACAAATTTTACCGGCACTGCTGTTACTGGAACACCACATTTGGTTGCGTCCGATTCTGATCACGATTCGCAAATGGTGATCCCTTTATATACGGACCAACAAATTCAGCAAATGAGACTGGCCTATGCCGTATTATACATGTGTTTTACGGGATTGTGCACTGTCGGCAGTACGTTTAACTTGTGTATTTTGACGTGTACACACTACAAACGGCATACATCGCTGCGATGCTACATGCTTACCACCAGCATTGCGGACCTCATGGCACTGTAAGTGTACGAAGATAACAGCACAAAAGATCATAAAAGCGATAAAAACGATGTTATGTTTACAGCTTGCTGATTTAGTAAGTATACCACTGAAGTAGTCATAGAACTAGCTTACGTACGGTTAGCGCAAGTTGGTGAATTTGCAAGCAGAAAAATGGAGTGTACTAGACATGTTTCAAAACATTTCCGCAGTAATGTATTGACATGCTATACGGAAGTCGCACCGACTACCGTACTCGATGACCAACCATACACAGTCGGTATAGTGGGAATACGCTCTGGACTCCGATGAGTGGTCGTACACAACAAACTCTACTTCCGCTAGGTACAGCGGATGTGCCTAACGAAAGTTACCGAAACCGAAACACTCAGGAACTTCCCAAATGTTTAATAACAGATCAGAACGCACTTCTACGTAGAAGTTCTGGTATACCAGAAGGTCACACCAACATTCTAGTAAAGCTAACTTCACAGTCTTCTTCATCAAGACTCAACACACTGCACTTGCAAACCGAATCGCTAATGTAATTAGTGATCAAATGCGTTAGATAAGAACAGCAATCGTATGTAACCAAACAGACAACACGTACGTCACAGCACGTACGTACGTAATACCCGCTTTCTACGCATAGCGTGTTACCCCCACTGCAGGGAATTCACGTCCGCGTTAATCAACAGCAAAACAAACAGAACAGAACCAGTGAAACAAAAAATCAAAATCCAGGAAAAAGTACCGTCATCCTGGAGATCCAGAGCATCATTATCCGTGTGTGGAATCCGGGGTGTAACGGGGGTTCGAAGAGCGGTCCAAGTTAGCGATCCGTCCAAGTCCTCCGGAGTTCCTGGTTCCACACGCGTACATCATCATCCATCCAACGCTGATTTTTCCGTCCGTTCCATCCATGAAGTTTTCATCCATCCTCTCCCTCCATAGAGCTCAAGGATCCACAGTCAAACAAGCCAAACACATCAGAAATAGCAGAATTTCTGATAACACTGGCAAAGGCAATCAATCAACTGCACACATCAAAACGGATAAATAAAATCCGTTTTACAACATCTTCACAGTGCACCACAAAGCGGATACTTATTTTCCACTTTTTCTTGGCACTCACCCCCACTGCAAGTTTGCACTTGCAGTCAAACGATCAAACAAAATCAGTATCCAACCGATCAGAAGAACCAACATCAGCGTATGGTTCTTGCAACGATCAAGCAAACCTGGCCATTACAGCCATCACCATCCAAATAAATTCAAGGATTCTGATTAGAACTGGATTGAACACATCCAGTTCTCAAACGAACAAACCGTAAACTGTACAGTTTACAACTGCAAAAGTTCAAAATGATTTATTAATATCATTTTCGAAAACTGCGAACGCTGCACCGACGCATAGCGCTTTATTTTCACGTAACCGCTACACCAGCGGCTACGACAGAAAACATAAAGAACTTTCATGGCAAGCACTTAATTTCAATTTCATAAACAGTCATAATCCATAACCGTTCACTATCTATCATAATCACAATCAGCATCCCCTTTTTGCTGATTAATACTGCAGTTGCAAGTAAACGCACGTTTTCTGCCAACACACCTGTGACAGAAACGGCGGACTGACGACGTTGCAATCTCAACTTTAACAATGCGCGCGACAGTGCGCACATTCTGACATTTTCCATAGATCAGAATTTATCCCAGGCCAGTAATAAGTCCGCAAAATATGCTTACGGACTGACCAACAATCATGCAATCCACCTGCATGACAATTATCATGGCAGTCTTGTAACAAGTCCTGACGGCTTACCTCCGGTACGACAACACGGTGTCTACCATACCTACCGCCCTTGCTACGGTACACAGTGCCACGATAAATGTGAAACAATTTCACATTTACTTTCTCATCCCGTTTCATTTCCGCTTCGGAATTTTTAATTAGGAACTTTAAGCGCTTTACATAAGCACTTCCTGACTGCTTCTGACGCCAACCTTCATGAGCTTGAGCACTCCCACTGCGAAGCGAGTGACCCTTTGAACGGCCTGCCGAGCCGAACTGACTTTGGGCGGCTCCGCCCCTACTGCAAGTTTCGTTTCGTGCAGCAACTTCCTGTGCACACTTCACCTGCACATCGAAAGAATTAACTTCCGGCTTACGCATTAAACACAATCCCAAATTGTTACTTTCGGGATTTTTCCTGTGGACTTTCTCATCATGTAAGCTTTAATTACATGATCAGGCGGTTCAACTGTCACCGGCTTCCGTGGTTCCGTGCTGGTACACTTCTTCCCCACATGCGCACCATGACACTTGAAACAAATAGGCTGCCCGTCTGGGAAATACCACTTTGCGTAATTAATGGTAACCTGCTTACCATTATCACTTGCAGTTCCATCCGACTTCTTCGACTCATTAACAACGGTCTTATCTGTACTGCTGTTAGCATCACTTGGCTTCTTGCCACTGAACTGCTTCACATCCGAGTATACCGAACCCGGATTACTATTTCGCAGTTTAAACTGCAGTTTCAGCTCTGACAATTGACAAAAACTCTTCCACATCTGTCACTCTTTTTTCCTCCATGTACTTGAACCAGCTGAATCGGTTCTTTTTCAAACCTTGCTTCAAATAGTAGACACGTTCAGATTCGTTCAAGTCTAACTTTTTGAACGATGTCGTAAACCAGTCAACATAGGAGTTCGGAGTATCGTCATTATTGAAATGACGATCAGCAACCTTATCGCGAACGGCCATCAAATCCTTTTCATCCGAGAAATGTTCTCGGATCATCTTCTTCCAATCGGACCATTTTAACTTTTTACTTGAATCATACTTATCCAAGTACCAAGTAAGCGCCGTACCAGTAAGGCAGCGCGACAGGCACTTACTGATGACGTCACTGTCAGACCAACTGTTGTGGTTCTTACAGTTATCCACACCTTGGATAAACTGTTCGACCTTATTAGTGTCCGTTTTCCCGTCGAACTTTTCAGGATACATCGTATCCATCCTGAACGCACCCTTCATCGCACTCGTGAACTTCTCCATATCGAATGGAGCAGAAACAGTACTACCGCCCTTGGTCTCCTGTTGCTTTAATCGACGATCAAGTTCAGCTACCTTTGCTTCCATCTTGGCCAGAGCAATTGTACTGACTTCAGATATCGTTGGTGAGGGACTACGCGACTCACCCAAACATTCCTGCATATTATGAGCACGTTCACGCAAATCCAGAAACTCCTCCAGCTTGTGGTTATCCTTGACCACATAAACAGGCTTCTGAATTGCACTATACAGCTTTCGTATAGGATCAACCGCATCCTGTACTACTTCGCTGCGACGACTTGCCTCAACATGCGGAACATAGATGACGTCATCAGTCACTGAATGGCGTCTATTATCCCTATCAACTTTCAACTTATTCACAGAATCTTTAAAAGCTTTCTGTTCAGCCAAAAACTTTTCATACTTTTTATTCAGGGCAGCTGTGCCCTCTTGAAAGCTTTTCTGTGCTTGTTGCTTCTCTAACTGGAATTTCTGCTTTTCCAGTTGCAATTTCTCGCTTTCTTTGTTAACATGCTCAAACGCGTCCTGCATCAACTTTGCATCTCGCGTACGCATTATGCCAAGCAGTTTCACCTGATCAGCCAAATCATTATGGCGATCAACAGCGTCGTCATATCTTTCGATTAAATCGTTATACTTTCCAGTTAATTCATCATGCTTCGAAATGAGTGCATGAAATTGGGCCTTTTCTGCATCCAATTCATTACGTAACTGATCAACCACGGCAGCGGTTGATGACTCATCTCCTTCTTTGCCAATTTTCTGACTGTATTGAACATCAGCGTCTTTACACGCTGATTACCCACAGCAGCCAGTTCTAAATCAACATCGTTATCATCTTGAGAAACTACAACAGAATAATCTGGAGCATTATTGATCTGCTCCAATACCTTATTCATCTCAGTCAGGTCCAGATGCTGAGTTACCGCGGTATCCTTCGCAGTACCACCCACGCCACTGGCTGACAGTACATCGCCCTCACTGACTGCAGCTTGCACACCACCGCTTTGCTTCGCTTCCGACCCTGGACGAGCTGCTTTGCTGCTACCTGCTGCAGACATATCCGGCTTCTTACGGGCAAGATACTGCATCCATTTTTCATGCAGTTCAGTGCCGTACTGCTGATCATAATCATGCAAGGTCAAGTGGATCGTTCTACGGGCGGGAATTTTCCTTCCTGCCTGGATCCACTGATCGTAGCCTCCTGGTTTTTTACCACCATTTAGGTCATATTCGACCCACTCCTGGCTTAACTCACCAGTTCGAGGAAGAACAATTTCCCACTTCTTACAAAATTCACCAACCTGTTCATCTTCAGGAAGAAACCATTGCACTGTAGGCGGGCTTAAGTAATCCGCCTTTTCCAGCATGGCTTCAAACTCGTCAACTTTAATCATCCCTTTTCGTCTGGATGCTTTGCTTTGACCAGTTGATGGCTCTTCTCTGCCATTCTCCTGTCCAGCAGTTAATGCTGATGGTTCAGACAGTACACCATCCATTTCACCTGCTTGACAAAGCACAGACAAGACACGAGATCCAGGTCAATGTACCCGGATGTAAGTAAGTCTGTCCAATTAACAGGGCTTACGCCACGACTTCTCAGTACACACCGTACCTATTCACAGTACAAGAACAGATTATGGACTCCCGTCCTGCACCTGGCTCGCACTTAGGAACCGTGCCTCGCGTGACCTTCTGAAGTCACTGCGGCAACAAACTTCGGTCTAGCACGTGGCTCTCATTTAGGAACCGTGCCTCACGGGACTCTCTGAGGATCCACGTGGCCAACCAACACAACCAGAACCAACCAAAGAAACCACTCACTCACCAGACAATCCAGATTCCCTAGGGTTGTTAAAATCCGGTGGGCGCCATGACATGCTATACGGAAGTCGCACCGACTACCGTACTCGATGACCAACCATACACAGTCGGTAT